AATACCTGGGAAGGTTGCTGAAATTCAGCATGCCAATTTGCGCATCTGTAATGGTGATGTTTATCCAGATGATGTGGTTTTGCAAGATGTCCCAACTTCTTACGATCAAGAATATAACAATGTTTCAAACTCTTTACTATCACATGACAATACAACCAATCCTGTTCAACCATATACATCTGTTTTGAAACAAAATGCATCTGTTAGCGATGAATTCAACTCATCTTCGTCTGTTGCTAGCACTTCACATCAAATCACCGTCCCTATTTTTCTTGCAAATGATGTCACTTTGCGTGGTATATTGGTCACTGATAGTGAAGCTGGTCATTCTGTTAGAAGCTCACATGTGATTGGTCAAGCCGCTTATCAAAAAAAAAGAAAACGTATGTGCTCTTACAATATAATTATCTTTGCATTTTTTTTGACTTATTTAAAAACTTAACTTTTGCTCGCTGCTTTGGGGATGATTTTGTCGCTCTTTCTTTTCATAGGTGGTGTTCCAGATTATATTGATTTTGGCCCTAGAAATTTTCAATGTCAATATTGTGGCGCTTTATTTTGGTCTACAGAGCGGTTAAAAACAAACGCTTCTTCTACTAGAAGGCCACAATTCACTGCATGCTGTATGAGTCAAAAAGTAAAATTCCCACCTGTTAAGCCTGCCCCTGCTTATTTGGACCATCTACTAAATCCAACAAATTCTCAAGAAAATTCACATTTCAAAAAAAATGTTAGATTGTATAATTCAATGATGGCATTCACTTCAATGGGGGCTAAAGTTGATGCATCAATAAACAAGGGTCAAGGTCCTTATGTTTTTAAGATTAATGGTCAGGTGCATCATTTAATGGGTTCTTTGTTGCCTCCTGAAGGCGAGAGCCCTAAATTTGCCCAACTCTACATTTATGACACTCAAAATGAAGTCAACAATCGTATGAGTTGTTTTCCTCATTCTGAAGCATCTTCAAAACTTGACGAACAAATTGTTGGTGGGCTCATTAAAATGTTAGATGAGTGTAATGAGTTGGTTCAATTATTTAGACTTGCAAGGGATAGAATTAATCAACAGTCAGCAAGTTCTTTGCGCTTGCGTTTGTATGGCACAATGAGCAACCATGATGCGCAATATAATCAACCAACATGCGACGGCATAGGAGGGTTAATTGTTGGGGATATCGGTCAATTTCACACCGAAAGAGATATTATTATTGAACACAAAGCCACTGGTCTACAAAGGATAACAAAGTTGCATCCTAAATATATGGCTCTTCAATATCCTATTCTTTTCCCGTATGGTGAAGATGGATACACCAAAGGTCTTCCTTGGAATCCTGCTTTTAAGGGGAAAAAACCCAAGACTGGTGGGGTGTCTATGAGAGCATTTCTAGGTTACCAAATTCAGGATAGACCAGGACAAGATAGCACCCTGTTGAAGGGTGGCAGATTGTTTCAACAATATTTAGTAGATGCATATGCCACACTTGAAGAAGATAGACTTGATTTCATTAGGACAAATCAAAGTTCTTTGAGAACTGAGCGTCTTAAAGGAATTCATGAGGCGTTAAAAAACGGAAATGCAAGTGGTTCAGACATTGGTAAAAGGATTATATTGCCAACTTCATTTACTGGCAGTGCTAGGTATATGATAAATAATTATCAAGATGCCATGGCTATATGTCGTCACTTAGGAAATCCTGACTTATTCATCACCTTTACATGCAATGCTAAGTGGCCAGAAATTATTGAAGATCTACGTGAAAGACCTGGTTGTAAGGCTGAAGACAGACCAGACATCATATCCAGAATTTTCAAAGCAAAACTTGATCATATGATTAAGTATATAAAATCAGGAAAACCTTTTGGCAAAACTGAATCTGGTTAGTTATTCACTTTTCCCAATTCTCAAGATTATTTGTTTGTTTTCTCTTATGAGCATAAACCTTAGGCGCTTCGTTTTCATGTTTTTGTCTTATTTTTCTCCGAACAGTTATTTACACAGTTGAATTCCAAAAAAGAGGTCTCCCGCATTGTCACATCTTGGTTTGGGTCAGTAAAGAGTATAAATGTCATTCTCCTTCTGATGTGGATTCAATCATTTCGGCTGAAATTCCTAGCGAAGTATTTGACAAAGATGGGTATGATGTTGTTGCACAGTATATGATTCATGGTCCATGCGGTCTTGCAAATGAAAAATCTCCTTGCATGAAAGAAAAAAAATGTTTAAAGAAATTCCCAAAACGTTTTGCAAATGAAACTACTTTTGAATCTGATGGTTTTGTCACATACAAACGTAGGGAAATGGAGAATTGTTTTGTTGTTAAAAATGGAGTCAAGCTTAATAACGCATTTGTTGTCCCTTATAATCGTGAATTGTTATTAAAGTATCAAGCTCATATAAATATTGAATCGTGTTGCCAATCAATGCTTATTAAATATCTTTTCAAGTATATAACCAAAGGTGTTGATAGAGCTAGAGCTGTTTTTGAAGATCAAGAGTTTAATGAGATTCTAGCTTATCTAAATTGCAGATATTTATGTCCTTATGAAGCAGTTTGGAGATTGTTACAATTTCATATTCATTTTAGAGAACCAGCTGTTCAAAGATTATGTGTGCATCTACCTTCTGACCAAAATGTTGTCTTTAAAGACAATGATAGTTTAAACTATGTTGTTAACCAACCTGATCTTGAAAACACAATGTTAACAAAATGGTTTGAAATGAATACTCAAGATCCTAATGCACGCCAGTTGTCTTATGTTGAATTTCCTTCGAAATATGTTTGGAATAGTGAGAATAAAGAGTGGACTCGAAGGAAAAATGGTAAATCTCTAGGTAGAGTTGCATATGTTCACCCTGCTGCCGGTGAATTATACTATTTGAGATTATTGCTTAATTATCAAAAAGGTAGCTTTTGTTTTGATGATTTAAGAACAATTAGAGGTGTTCTTCAACCCACATTTCAGGCTGCATGCAACTCGCTTGGCCTATTGGGAGATGACAAGGAATGGAACAATGCAATGTTAGAAGCGATGGTTACCGCATCATCGCATCAATTGCGACAATTGTTTGTTACATTAGTTTTGTTTTGTGATGTTGCTGATCCAGCAACTTTGTTTGAGACACATTGGAAAATGATGTGTGATGACATCTCGATAAAGATGATTAATGCTTTTGGCTTGCAAGATATGTCTAAGTATGAGGATGAACTTAAAAATTCTCTTTTGTATGAGTTAGAAAAGTTGTTTGTTGCTTCAAATAGTTCTCTATCTAAGCATCATCTCCCAATTCCAAGCAAAGATGTCATAGATAGACTTAAGAATAGAAGTTTAAGAGAGGAGTTAAACTACGACACTGAATCATTGAAAGAGCAACATTCACAGTTGGTTGCACAATTGAATAGAGAACAAAAAATTGTTTATGATAGTGTCATAAAGGTAGTTGATCATAATAAGCCTGGTATGTTTTTTGTTCATGGACATGGTGGGACTGGTAAAACTTTTTTGTGGACTACTATCATAGCTAAGATTAGATCAGAAAACCATATTGTTTTGGCAGTAGCTTCATCTGGAATTGCCTCCCTTTTGCTTCCTGGAGGAAGAACTGCACACTCTCGATTTAAAATCCCTATTAGCATTACAGATTGTTCACTTTGTGAAATAAAAAAAGGAACTCATCTAGCACAATTAATTAGTGATGCAGCTCTTATTGTTTGGGATGAAGCACCAATGAATCATAAACAATGTTTTGAAACTTTAGATAGATCTCTTCGTGATGTTCTCAAAGGTTCAAAACCAGGTTTTGACGATTTGCCATTTGGAGGAAAACCAATTCTCTTTGGAGGTGATTTTAGACAAATTTTACCTATTGTCCCAAATGGAACTAAGGCTGACATTGTTGAAGCTTCGTTGACAAGCTCTTATCTTTGGCCTTATTTAACCATTTTTTTTCTCAAAGAAAACATGAGACTTTCAAAAACAGGTTTGAATGAAAAGGAAAAACAAGAGTTGGCTGATTTTGCTAATTGGATATTACAAATTGGAAACGGTAGTGTCGCTAATTCTATTTTGTCAACTGATGAAGAAAATTCTTGGGTTGAAATATCAAAAGACTTTCTCATTGATTTTGAAGACAATCCCATTGAAAACATGGTTTCAGCAGTGTACACAGATTTTCAAAGAAATTTTCATGATGTGTCATATTTGAAAGAAAGAGCTATTGTTACACCGCGAAACGACACAGTGACTGAAATAAATGATTTTATGTTAACTATGGTGCCTGGTGAAAATCGCACATATCTTAGTTTTGATTCTGTGTCTTCTTCAACAGAAAATGTTGAAAATCTTGATATACTATACCCATTAGAATTTTTGAACCAACTTGACTTACCTGGTTTGCCACACCACAAGCTAGCATTAAAAGTCGGTATGCCAGTAATGTTGCTTAGGAATTTAAATCAAAGTTCTGGATTGTGTAATGGCACAAGATTGGTGGTGATGCAATTAACTGATAGAATTGTGGAAGCAAAGATCATAACGGGTAGCAACATTGGTGAAAGAGTTTACATTCCAAGAATCATTACTGAGTCATCACAAAATAAATATCCGTTTACTTTGCGAAGAAGACAATTTCCTCTCAGAATTTGCTATGCAATGACAATTAATAAGAGTCAAGGACAATCTTTGAAGATTGTTGGGCTATTTCTATCTCAAACAGTTTTTTCTCATGGACAGCTCTACGTTGCATTATCTAGGGTCACCTCAAAAAAGGGTCTTAAAATTGTGATTGCTCATGATTGTGATATGCCTTACGGATACACAAAGAACATTGTTTATAAAGATGTTTTGAATCGTTTACATGAAGGTGTGTTGGTTTGTGTTTATCCATTCATTTTTGTTTTTCTCTTTTTACCTATTTTTTTGAATTCTAATGTATTCTTTGTTTCATTTGTGTGTTGTATGATTTTAAAGTTTTTATTTGCTTTTAAATTTACTTTGTATAGATTGATGGAGCATATGCCAATTCGTCTTTTGTTACCATACAACCCAATAAGCAAACTACAAGTTAGGATATGCAGAATTTGGGTGACAAAAAATATTGGAGCTGATCGTCAACCTGCAAGTTTGGACTGTGTCTTTGTTGACAAAGAGGTTAAATCTTTACACTTTTTTTTTCATTATTAAATAGGTACAAATTTATATATGTCGAAATGCATTTATCATACAATTAGTATTAATTCAATTTTTCCTTCTCATTTATTCACATTCCATCTGGTTTTTTATTACAATTTCAATCTTTAATGCATATGAGAAAATATTTAAAATCTACATCATTTTATGCATATTTTTGTATAAATGTCAATCTTTAAATTTTCAAATCTATTAAATAGTAACTTTGTTACTTTGTATGATTTGCTTTTATGCATATGTTACTATATGCTATAGCCATACAAAACATGCTTTATACATTATTTGATATGTGATTTAATGCATTTTTTGCTCATTTAAAAACTAATCGATCTAATTTTGTTTTTCCCATCCAAAAGGGACATGCAATTCAAGCAACCATGAAACCCTGGGACATCCAATTCTTTTTGGAGCATCTAAAAGTTGGGATCGTGTATGAAGTAGATAAATTTCGTGTTATCCGCAACAGAACGTCAAGCAAAATTGTCCCTCACGATGCTATGCTTGAGTTAAACAAAAACACTAGCATAGTCCCTGTTGAGAAACCAAATCAAGTGATACCAATGCATTGGTTTAATTTGATTGAATTTGATAACCTTGACCAAAGAGTTGATAAAGATGTACACCTAACAGGTAAATCGTCTAATTTTCACGATTGTCGCTATTCTAAAATCATTGTTCTTAGTTTTTAACTTAATAAGCTGATTCTTATAACTGTATCGTATGTAGATGTTTTTGGTTGTCTAATGGCTTTACAACCAATTGAAAACATCACTGTGCAAAATATTAGAGTTGAAAAAAAGCGAGACCTGCAACTTCAAAATACTAGGTAAACCATACTTCTCTTAAACTATAATTACATGTTTATACATATATACCCATATAAAAATTACATAAATAGTTTTGACTCCGTTTTGCAATTGTAGAGGTGAACAAGTTACAGTTACCCTGTGGGCAGAAACTGCAACAAACTTTCAAGAAGATGCATTAAAATCACTTTCACCTCCTGTCTTCATTGTTTTGACTTCACTCAAAGTGAAGAAATATAAAGGTTATATCTTAACAAAATCTAAATGTTATCGTTTTTCTTTTGTATTTATAATTGTTTTCTTTGTATTTATAGGAAAACCTGTTCTGGGAACCACAGGCTCAACGGTTTGTATTTTCAATCCTGATATCCCACTACTTTCAGAATATGAACAAAAGTGAGTGCACAAATCTTATTTAATATTTATTTTCGTTTTTAATTTTATAGTGTATATTCTTGGACCTAAAAATTTGAAACTCAGGTTTGAATACCTCAAAACACCCATTGAAACTCTACCAACTTCTGCTGAAAAATATGGGAAAAGTACTACTATCGTTGATTCAGAACAAAAGACAATTGCAGAATTGCTTCTTCTTGATCCGACATTAAACAAGGTCAATCCACCATCACTAAATTATCTCATATTTTGTCAATTGTATTATGCAACTACTTTGCAATTGATTGGTTGTTGTAATTTGGAAATCACATTGTTTCTTAGTCTATACTGTGTTGTGTATACAAAGTGTCATGTTGTTTGTTTGTTTCTTCATTTATAAGCTTCAACACAAAAAATTAAACAATTTATATTTTGTGATTCAATATACATTTTCCAAATGTCATTTCATGACCAAAATCTATATTCTACTTTATATTTTGTGTGTAAATGCATTTTATAGGGTGCAAATGTCATGTTTGTGATTTTGTTCTCAAAATGTCATTTGTATTTGAAAATTTTATATCATACCAGAATACAAGTTTCATGTGTCAAGCAACAATTGTCGATTACGATCTGACAAATGGATGGTGGTACAAGTCGTGCCCGTATTGCCACAAAAGTGTGAGAAATACAAATGAAACCTTTCAATGCTTTGAGCATGGGGTGCTAAAAAAAATGCCTGAACCATGGTAATTTCCTAATTTCTTCTTTCTACATTGTTTACATCTCTTTGCAATCAATATTGTTTTTATTGCAAATTTTTTAAACTGCAAAACACATCTCATGACATTTTCATCTCTTATTTAGGTTTAAGATGAATTTTATTGTGGATGATGCCACAAATCAACTCAACTTTTTAGTGATTGGAAGGACTGCTGAAAAACTTTTGGGTATTTCTTGCCACTCTTTGGTCATAGAAGAAGGCTATGATGACTCTTCTGTCTTGCCACCACAGCTCCAAAAATTGGTTCACAGCACAAAAAAATTCCTGCTCCGTTTTGGAAATCAAAACAATGAGTTTGGCAACACCGACTTTGTTGTTCATGGAATAATTGAGGAACAAACATCAGTTGAACCAAAACTTAGTTCAATTGTACCACGTACACCTGCTAAGAACATTGGAAAACAAGTTATTGATGCAACAACCCCTCTCCCTTTTACTACCCTTGAATCTCAGACTCAACAAATCCAATCAGCTGCAATAAACAAGGGTGTAAAAAGAGCACTATTTGTTGAAAATGAACCTTCAAAAGCTCACAGGTTAATTTTTCCTTTTCAAGTAATGTTGGTATTTCATTAAACAAAAACATCATGTATGCACTTTATAATGCTCATTTCCATATTTTTTAAATTTGACATGTATTCACAGCAAACATGATGAGGGGAGACAACAACTGTCTACTAATTCAACCAGAATCTCAGCAGAATTCTCTAACTTGGTTGTCCCAAAAGTTGAACCTGCAGACAAAAGTCCGATCAGTGCTTTAAGAAGTAGATCACAGGCAAAGAAAATCAAAGACAGGTATAGTGACATATTGTTTACAATAATCTATGCCAACTTGGACAATTACTTACTTTTTTGTTCTATTTTGCTGCTCAGTGTTGGAGATGTTCATTCGCCAAAGAAATGAACTATGGAAGACATCGTGATGGACTACTGCAAAGGATCAAACATATATATTTTTTGCTCATCCCACTAACATGGACATATACTTTTTGCGAATTCGACTACTAAAGTCAACTAATGTACATACCATAAAAACATGTTTATTATGTTTTGCAACTGTTGGAATGATACAAACCCCTGCAGAACATGTATTTTGTCATGTTGTATGAACAAACAAAATATGTGTAAACTGCATGGTACTTCAGTCTCTAATGCAAAGACACTATATTTCGTCCTTGCAACTATTGTCAACGTAAACTTTCATTCAAGTAATTTTGATTGCATGCTGACTCTCAATATTGACTTAATACATAAGCAATGTAAATGAAATTACTTTTTCTATAGATCAATTCACCCATATCTTGCTTTTTCTTTCATTTGGAGCTAACTGTGTAAATATGTGATTTTGTAAACGTTACTCATGTTAAACATACGTTCTCTAACTTGCTACATTATTGAATGCAATTATATTACTAAAGCATTTTCAATCAATTTTCTATGAATATTATTCATCATCTAAAAACCCGCAGCAAAGCGCGGGCATTCATCCTAGTCTTATTCTAAACCAATTTGTATTTAATTTATTTCGACATTTCATTTTCCTTTTTATTTCGTACGTAGCTATTATTATAATTATATTGCAAGCTAAGAATTATACTATTCCCACGTGAAACATTACAAACTAAGGACTACTTTACAGGTCGCGTGAAGGTCAATTGTTTGTCTATTTATCTTAGAATTTACTTTCAAGAATAATAAAGTTAACGATAAAAGCCCCAAATATTTAAACCTTAACAAAAAAAGTACTCATATAACTTTGTTTAATGGTTATGACAAAATTCAAAATTTTCTGTTTTGTTTGTTTAAACAGAGTTTTTGCTTGGTTAAATGTTCATAAAATAAAATAATGTAGTATATTCAACAATGCAAAATCTATTTTTGAAAAAAAAAGAGAGTAAATTCATGAATTTTACTTGGTTAAAAAAATACATAGATTACAATATAAAATATTTTAGAAAATAAAGAATACCTTAATAAATTTATAAGTTATTAATTAGTTGAAAATTAATAAGGTATTAGTTAATTGATAAATTAATAAATTATTAATTAACTGATTATTTAATATTCTCTATATTTATAATTTTTTTTCCTATAGAAGTTTAATTATCGTAACTTGCGACTAGCTGATCTCTTTTGAATTAAAAAAAAAAAAAAAAAAAAAAAGAAGAAGAAGAGAAGTATTCTACCTTTTATCTTTTACAAAATTCAGGCATGTATAGATATGTTTGGCAAACAACAAGATCTACCTTTGTCTTCTTAGAGTTGAGTCTTAGAGTTGAACTCAAATTTTCATATATATGATAATTCATAAATTAGGAGATTGTTATTAGTATTTAGTATTCTAATAGTCATCCTACATTCTTATTCTAATAGTCATCCTACATTCTTTCTTCTTTTACTTTTTATCCTGGAAGAATGCAGAATAACTTTTTCAAATACTATTAAACATGGGGCGGATCTGTGACACCACTTTTTGTATAACTATTGACTCACATTTTTGTGGAACCTACTCTATAATGTGTTTTAATAATTGAAACCATTTATGTTTTAGAACATCATCAATAGATTATCCTTACAAAACATTAGATAAGTCGAAAACCATTAAGAAATTCATTTGTAGCGAAGAAAATGGATGAATACGGCTCTACAAAGAAACCCTAAACCCTTACTCCAACAGTTATATAGGTTCAGATTTAGGTAGTTTTTGGTAGACATGATATTTGAGGGGCAGACCTAAAACATAGACACTTAGTATCGTTGAAATATATTACAAAGTAGGCCCCACAAAAACGTGCGTAAAAATTAGTGTAAAAAAGTGGTGCCACATATCCCTCCCCAATAAGAATTTCCAGAAAAATATGTAGGGTTTACATTTTCATATGATTTTATATCCAAATCAAAAAACAGTTCTTTGAAGTTAAGTCAAGGGAAAAAAAAAAATGATGCTATCATCATGAAACAAAAAAACAAAAACAAAAAAACAAAAAAAAGTATACTTGAAGCAATCCAAAACAAAGGTTTCTTTCTACTCAAAATTTTACTCAAGAAATTGCCACAACATCCTCCTTTGTCCAATTACATTATTGGGAATTTGGAGATTACAAAGTCATAAAAGGCTCCAAATATTTCTTTGATGAAAACAATAGCCTTCCCAAACAACTCCACCTCTGCAAATTTGTTAGTTTTAGTTGTTGGCCAGTCCTTGCATCCAAGACACCAACCGAGAGAGAGAAAGAGAGAGAGAGACCCAATTAAAAAATTTGGGAAGAGAAGAGAACCGACATTTCTCTTCTAATACACACCCAAATCTGTGATTCACACACCCAGTTTCATACCAATTTCCTCTCCCTTGGAGTGCAAGAAGGCTCAAAAAGTTCTTGCAATGGAAAAGGCAGGCAGGATTATCAGAAAATCAGTCCACACATTCCTTCTAAACTACCAATACTTCACCTCAATTGCAGCAGTCATTGCCTTACCATTCTCAGCCTCAGTTCTCATCTCACAAGCACTTCTTCCGTCTAGCTCCGCCCTCTTGCCCGCCGTCTACAACCGCCTGCACAGCCTTTTTGATGCCGCCGGCTTCCCCCCCTCCTTGGAATTCTTCACCATTCTCAACAACAAGCTCTCCCAAACCATCACCTCCTCGATCTTCACATTCCCATTCTCCCTCACCTTCCTCCTCATAACCAAAGCTTTTGTAATCCAATCTCTCAGCCACCACCAAAAACCGAATACCTCGCCACACCCATCGTTTCTTTCCACAATTTCTCTCTACACCCCACTCCTCCACACTCATGTCTACAACTCGTTTTTGATCCTCTCTGCCAATGCAACAGTGTTTTCTCTCTTGTTCATCGCCTTCAATGTCCTCGAAGGACTCGGTTTCTCTTCTCGGAACACCCTCCTCTTCTTATCGGTATCTGGGGCAGTTCTGTACTCCATTGTTCTTGCCAATGCACTCATAATATGCAATCTTGCATTGGTTCTATCAGGTGCACAAAAGAGTGGCGGTTACTTGGCACTTCTCAAGGCTTGTCTTTTGATCAGAGGAAGAACTTCAACGGCTCTCTGTCTTGCTCTGCCTGTCAGCTTAACCCTAGCTGCAGTTGAAGCATTGTTTCAATACCGCATCGTACGAGCTTATCATTTCGCAGGAAAGCTTGGATCTTCCATGGCTATGGAGGGTGTTTTCATTGCTTATTTGTACTCAATTCTTGTTGTTCTTGATACTACTGTGAGCTTTATGTTCTTGCAAAGCTGCAAGCCTAGTTCTCGGCGGATTGAACACAGAGACGACGAAGAAAGTCGTGGAGATTTGAAGGCTGTCAAAAGTGCTTCCATGAAAGTGTTTCCATGAATTTTGGTTCAAGAAATTCAAAGGACCCTTCAAACTTCAAAGTTCAAACCAATCCATTTTTAGTTCTTTCTTTGTTTATACAGGAAAGAATATAAAAAAGGCATTGAAAAAAAAAAAGAAAAAGAAAAAAAAAAAAGCTTATTATTATTTTATTCCAATTTAATTTAGTTGCTTTGTTAAGTTAGACTGTCAACTTTAGCAGTGTGGATGATACATTTAGGTCTCTTTGTTTCTTTATACTTTTTTGTTATTCAAGTTAGTTTTGTGTTGATTTATTTATTTTCTTTTAAATTATGGACCAGCAGTTGACAGATGCTTATAAATCTTGATTAGTTTTGTGTTGGCTTAGCATTAAACGAATAATATCGGTCATATTCCAATGTAAAAGTACTGGAGTGATTGAGCAATATAAAATTTACATCTTGCAACCGTTTATAAATTCTTACAATTCATGCATGAAATTTCATAGATGTTTCGGCCTGCGTAAATTGTTCTCTAATTGTGTCTGCAAAAGATCTTGTGAAAACTCGCGATCGCATTTTTTATGGCATTTTTCCAAAAAATGTAGCGCAAGGATTTTTCATATTGATTTTGCGAAAACTACAAAAATCATTCGAAAACATAATTTGTAAGCATTTATCATTGTTTGATATTTTATAATTTCTGGTGTCTCTCGACCTCGCACCATTATTTTGTAATTTCTCTTTTCTCGGGCTATTATCCCCTTTATTTAACCAAAAAAATACATTTCATGAATGAAGTACACTTTTCGACTAACAACCATAAGGAAACAACAGTCAGTTTCTAAAACCAGCCTATACTTATTTTACAATTACCCTAAAAAATGAAAGAAATTCCCCGTCGTTCGTCTAGTTTCTTTCTGAACCTGATCACCTATACAACGCCTATCACGACGGGGTCTCCTATCCAAAATTTCAACGTAACGAGGAACTAAATTATATGTTACACGAACATGAATTGAATTCTAAACTACAGAGAGAGGGGTTAGCGTGATTTGTACAGGATTTAACGGTACAGCAGGAATGCGGGTGCTTTACAGATCCCAACGGCATCTTCCTTGGTGTGTGCTGTACATTTTATGCCAAACGAATGGTGAAAGCCGAAACCTGATCGCCTAGGCTGAACCGAGACTCAACTTTGCTCTCACAAGGATGCCAGAGGGGACAGATCCGACATCATGATGGCAGCGGAAACCAGATTGCCTCAGGGAACCCTTGCTTCTCAATTAATGGATAGAACTGTCGAGTGAAAGCCAAGGTCCGGTCTCTTTGTATGATATCCCGCATGATTGATCAGTTGGCGTGATCATCCGATTGAACATCTTGTCAAGCATGTATAGTTAAGATTCATGCATAGTTCACAACTTCGAATGCTGCAGGACTCGACCAGTTGCCCTTTCTGCCCTCATCCAAATAAATCTCCAAGGGCTTTCCGTTGCACAAGCTCTGAGAAAGGGATTCCAACCAGGGTCCTCCTTGCAACTAGTTAGGAACACTGCGACCGAACACTGGGTCCTAAAAGCAAGTATGGCAGGAGAGCTCAACTTCCCATGTAGCGATAGAGTGACTATAATCTTCACCTATTTTGGTGGTTTTTTTGTGAGGTTAATGCCCTTGGCCTTTTCCATTTCAGCTTCCTTTTCGACTTTCTTCTTCTCCAATTCAGCCTGTTTGACATTCTCTTCGTGTGCTTTCCGAAACAACTTAACGAAATTTATGAGAGTCACAGTAACTGCAGTCATCAAAAATGGGTTTTTAATATGATGATAGTTAGTTTCAGAATGTCAACATGAAAAAAGTTAATTACAGATTGTGCGCATCCAGAAAAAACCCCGTCCCATAAAAAACATAAAGGTTCCACCGAAAACATAAACTCTCTTACCAAATCCAAAATTTAAAAACTTAAAAAACCTTCACCCCCATCCACTACTAACCTTGCTCAAATGGACAGCGGGCGGGATCCTCACCAAAATACAATGCAAGTGCATCTGCATTTCTACCCTGTCCACCAAAAGCAAATGACAATGCTGAGATCATAAAATACAAAATAAGACCGGCCACAAGGACACAGTTGATAATTAGCGTATTACCACCACAGAATATAGGTTCGTCACAGATACCACTTCGGTCTCAGCAACAGTAATGAACTCTTTCAATGTCTAGAAATTCAACAATAAAAACAAATACCAAAAAAATTGTTAGGGAACCCATAAAGAAACCAGAAGAAGAAAAAACTGGCCTTTTAGCATTAAAAGGGAAAGATTTAATACCTTACGGAAAACCTCTGACACAGGGCCATCATTTTCTGATGCTGTCAGCTCCTGATTGAGCTTTTCCAACCCCTTGATTATGGCTTGCATTTCTTCTGCTAAAGACTTCAATTGTATCTGCATGGAAACAAGATTTGTCACATACAAAATTCAACTAAAATGCTTACAATTAAATTAACACCAAGGAAACAAATGGGCACCTTTGTTGCAGGTTCCAGGCTGACAAGGTCCTGGTGAAAATCAAGAAGTCCCGGTGATTTAGATGCAAGGATCTAAGACACAAGAAAGCCAACCCTTAGAATCAAAATTTGATGGTAAGTTCTGCTTACACAAAAGACACAGACAACATATCCATCTGAGAGAAAACTTGTATCCAAAAACATTTGGCAAGAACGAGAAATTTTGCACGCAATCATCTCTTATTTGTTAGTTCTCATCAGACAATAACGCATGAGTGTCAATATATTCACTCATAACCCAAAAAAAAATAAAAAATGAAACATACCTTACAAAGATAATGCATGAGTGTCATCTTACTAGTAGACGCACGCGTATCATAGAGCTTCAGTAGACTGTCTAACTTAAACCCAACAGCAGCACCTGTACAAATAATTTAACAACTCATATCATTTCACAAAGGCTACAAAAAAATAAAGCTAAGCGCAGATAGGAATTTAAAATGGAATACGAAATAGTTGGTTTCAAATAAAGGATGCTTCTGCCGGTAACTCTTAATTCTCCAGCATGTTTCACATAATTTATCTTAATACTTCCCAGTCTACAATAATACGTTATCTTAAAGTTCTTACTTTAAGCAACATATAAAACAACCTTCCTACATGCTCTAAAGTCAACAAACATAACAAATTCCAATATAACATACCCCTTGCAGTTCCTTGGTTCAATGTGTTCCCTAAAAAAAGAATCTTCTTCATAATCTCCTTCAACTTAGCAGAGTTCCGAACCTAATTTATCAGTAAAAGAGTAGCTGAGTTAATATCGGTATCTATATACTGCAGGAAGTGATTCATTATTAGTACTGACATACCTCCTCACATGCAGAGTTTACTGTGTTCAAACTTCTTTTAAATTCCGAGACCTGCAAAAGAGGTCAAAAATTAGATAATGATGCAAAGAGAAAAACATTGGGTCACATTTACTAACATCAGGAACAAAATAGCACATACTACCAAACCTGAGTGCCGAACTGAATCTTGAAAGAAAAAACTCTCATCTTTGACTCCACCCGAGGCACTTTCATCAACTCCAAAAAATACTGAAACATTACAAATATACAGAGACTTTAAATATCTGACAATTAGTTATAGCTGTAAATATGTAAGGGAGATTACAATCCAATATGCACTCAAAACATCTGACACATAACTGCTATTATTGAAATTCTCCGAGCAACATAAAACATAACAATATTCAAAAACTTAAGTTTATGTAATGCAGAGCACTACTATCACAAAAGTTGGGAATATCCCCAAGAAACTAATCTGAAATGATTCCACCTAACCATTCAATAAAGTTTATGTAGTGCCTCACTAATTTTCTTTGTGGTTTTCCTGTATCTAATTAAGACACCGATTAAACCAATAGAAGTGTAATTTAGCATCTTACACAAGGACAAGCAAATTATATCCCTTAAAACATTACAAAACATATCATTTCTTGGTATTAGATGGAAAAATTCCATATATTGTACGCAAAAAGAATTTGGTCCATCTCAAAATCTTTTATTTTTCAACAGTAAAGGGAAATCATTTATTGATGTTTACCGATTATCAGCCATCTTCAAGTCTTCCATTGCCGCCACATTTACAAGTGTAATAATATTGGAGGAATATTTTTAAATTAAACTGAATAAGTGGTGAATGGACTAATCTCTGTCTCCTTAATATTATAAATTAATAAAGCACAAGATCATGGGGACACAATAACATTTAAGTCATAATTTATAATATTCAAAATCTGGTCAAAGCTTTTTTATATGGCACAGAAAAGGCCAGCGACTTAGAGCATCTCCAATGGGAGATGCACAATCCCTTGAATGTGTAACATACATTTTTGGTTGGCCGGAAAGCTCCAATGGAGATGCAAAATATCCATCTTACCATTGGAGATGCTCTTATAGTCATTAATCTACTAAGACAAATACTTCGAGAATATACTATGATCTGGTTATACCTTTTCACACTTCCCCAGGGTCTCCTTGTCACCAGTGTAGTTCTAAACGACAGAAATCACAAGCAAGAAAATATATAATTGATGAGGAGATGGAAGTCATTTCAGATTGTAAAAAGGGACTATAACTGTGCAAAAGGACTATAAAAATAACCAACAAAATCATTAAAAAAAAAAAACAAATTGTAAAAACGAATAAAGGCCACACCTTAAGAAGTTCCATCTCTTCTTTAGTAGGACAAAATTTAATTAAATTTTCCACCTGATCAACATCTAATACTGAATCATCCATTGCTAAAACGGCAGCCTGAGAATGTGCATATAAATACATAATCAGCTAAGTATGAAAAGTGTTCATTTACAACATCAGCATTAAAAACATTAGGGAAGTAAAAGCCAATTGAGAAGACTCATCGGATAAGCAAATTATCTATATTCACGAACCACAAGTAAGAAGAAATTCAACTGGATCAGCTTACCATCATATCAGGAAGTGGCATCTTAACTTTTGTGAGCATAATTTCTGTGTTGTTTGCCCTTCTCAGGTCAATCTACAATGTGGTACAAAGAGAATCACAGTAAGAAAGTAGAGAAGTAATAGCATCGGACATTATATTGAAAAATGAAGAAAAAAAATATTCATCAGAACAAATCTCTGCTTTAACGAATATAGCCAACACGCAGCATCGTGCACACCCAACTTATTAATATAAGTGCAACTATACAACAAAAACTCTGGCGACATGGAGGGATGGATGATAGATGGTTACATTCTAACAGAATGATCAAATCCCATAACTGGTAGGAAGACCCAGAAAGTATAACAGGAAAAGAATCCCCTTTAACAAGCATAACTTTAAGAAGATATGATTTTACAGTAAAATAACCAATTGTACAAAATTACCAGTTGGACTTTCTCAGGTTTAGAACCAGCAGACTTGCGGCGCCCTCCAGATTTATCTGAGTTTGCAGGCTTTGGAACTATAGCAGAGAAAAGGCTCTCTATCTCTGACACATCAAATTCTGGCTCACTAGATTAAAAGAGAAGCACATTAGTGATTTGAAATGAACAATCCGAAACAAAATACAAGGTTGCATGTGTTAAACATGTAAGATCCATCAAATCGACAACATAACTTTATGGCAGAAAACATGCTGCTAATGGAATGATAAGTTGAAAAATAAGATGCAATACTTTTGAGTCTCTCCATGTCTTTGCAGTTCCTCCCACAGGCTTCCATGCAACGCCCTTGTCACCTTGCTCCAATGTAGTGGTTTACAAGAGGACCGTCGGGGCGCTGTGGCAGGTATCCCACGTCCGCGCCCTCTACCAGCAGTAGCTCCTCTGGCACCTAATGTGGGTGGCGGTGGAGGAGCACCACCAGGAAGTCCAGGTGGAGCAGGAGGCCCAGGAACACGACCTCCTGGAGGTGGTGGTGGAGGTGGTGCTCCAGGCAGTGAGGGAGCGCGACCTCCACTTGGAGGTGGAGGAGGAGGTGGTGCACCATGTCCTGAAGGTGGTGGAGGTGGTGGAGGTGGCCCCCCATGCATTGGAGGGGGCGGTGGACGTGGGGCACCATACATAGGAGGTGGCGGAGGAGGTGGGGCACCATACATAGGAGGTGGCGGCGGAGGGGGGGCCCCCTGCATTGGAGGTGGTGGTTGTGGTGGAGGTGCTCCCTGCACTGAAAATGGTGGTGGGGGTGGTGGAGGTGGAATTCCACATAATGGTGGTGCCGGTGGTGGAGGTGGAGCTCCTTGCATTGGATGTGGTGGGGGCGGGGGTGGCGGTAAAGCTCCACGTAATGGAGGTGGGGTTGGTGGACGTGGAGTTCCTTGCATTGGAGGTGGTGGTGGGGGTGGGGGTCGTGGAGGTGCACCACGAGTAGGTGGTGGCGGGGGAGTAGGTACTCCAACTCCAAAAGGCTTGGATGCATTTGCAGCAAAAGGAGGTGGAGGGGGAGGTGGCGGTGGTGAAGTTCGAGAACTTGCCACCATAACACAAGCAGCTGAAGAGTACCCAACCTTCCAAAGAGATGTAGAAGGCTGTGGCGAAGGGGCAGAGGGAGGTGCAGGGACCAAAGCTATACCAATATTCTGCGTGCTAGATGATGAGGCATAAGGAGGTGGAGGTGGAGGTGGTGGTGGTGGCAGGGGAGGAGATGGGAATAAGGACGAGGCTGAAGAGGACTTTGAGAAGACAGAGTTAGCACTTAGCAGAGGTGGCAGTGGTGGCGGTGGAGGAGGTACAGCTACCTGTGACAATGGGGTAGCTGGTGAAAAAAGCATAGGAGAAGTGTACAATGAAGATATTTGAGACATAGGTGGTGGAGGGGGCGGGGGAGGGGGAGGGGGAGGAGGAGGAGGAGGTGGAGGTGGAGGTGGAGGTGGAGGTGGAGGTGGAGGCGGAGGGGCCACTACTGGTGCATCAATATGTTCTGTTTTAATAGAGGAAGGTTGTGTCTCTTGGATTGGTGGTAGTGTTGATGGCAGGCAGGATGTGGATGCCTCTGTAAGTGTCTCTGGTGCAGACTTTGAATGCTTCAAAGGGTCCACCTTACCATTTTTCAGTTCAGTTTCCACATCCTTTGAAACCACAGTTCCAGAAGAAGCTTTCAATCTAGCATTTGCATTTGTATCTTTTGAAGAAGCAGTACTGGCAAAACCAGCTGGTGCACTATTATATCTTGATGGTGGATAGTAAACATGCATTGAATTAGTATAAGAGCCTTTGTTAGGGGGAATCCACCTAGATACCGCATTTGGTTTTGCTATTTTTGCCGAAGTGCCCTGAGTTTCTTGTTGTTTAGTCTTCTGTTTTGCTACTGTAGTTTCTGCACCTACTTTTGCGTTAAATGAAGGCTGTCTCTTATAAGCAGGTGGCTGCAATCTCTCAGATTTCAGTCTAGAGACCTCAGCACTTGGTTTTGATTGTGCAACCTTGGTCTCTAACCCCTTCCTTGGACAGCAGTCTTCTTCATTAATTATATCTTCCATCTCTTCCAATTTCAGACACCCCTCTTCTACCACTTCCTTAGATCCAGTATGACTCCGCACATCAGCAGCAACTGGGATGAAATTTGACTTCATATCTCCATCATCCACAGCAATGTCTTTCACTGCATCGACATTGGAATCCACCTCATTGAGCTTGTACTTCACATCGTCAACAGCAATGTCCTTCACCGCATCAATATTAGAATTTGCCTTTCTGTTCTTTCTGTGCTTCCCATCATCTGACGTACAGTCTACAAATGCCTGACGATCTAAATCCTCCTTCCAGATTTTTTTCTGATCTATGTCTTTAGGAGTATTGTCGTGAACCATGGAAGTGTCTAAATCCGCCTTCACTTCGTGTGACTCCAATGCATTGCTAAATATCTCTTCCACCTCAAAAAATTCCTCGGGTGATGCATTCCCTGCCTCGCTTTCTTCACTTGCCACAACTGTGGTGATATTAGGCACAACAGCATCAGCGTCCAGAAAAAGTACCTGATACAGATTTGAGTATGCATTTAACTCCTATAGCTTCAGAAAAGGACACCCATATAAGAATAAACAATGACATACCTCTGCTCTAAAGTCCTTTGGAAACTGATCCTTGGCATGCCAAAGAATATCAATATCATCACGACCCAGCATCAGTATATTTGATCGTACAAATGCTGTATGGAACATAACCCGGAGCATCATCTCCTCGCGAACCAGATCTTCATCTAGGTGGATGCATTCAAGAACCACATCCCCTCGAACACGGCAACGAATATCAATTTTCACCAGCACACACTCTGCCTGTGATTAGGATTCATAAGAACGCTAAAAAATATATCATCTTATTCATCAGATTTTGTTGCATGAAGTAGACATTACCTGTACATAGAGGTGGGTATTCTTTTCATTCCTTAAAGTTGGAAAGAGAAGCTTAGAGCTCCTGTTAGCTGGTGTAGAAGGATCTTGACCAAAAACACGTATAAAAGGCCTGCAACCTTTTCCGTCATCAAAAAGCGGTAGATTTCGAAGTATCAGACAATCCAAAAGTAGAGGTGTATCTGATGGAGGCCATTCAGAACCCAAATTTCGTCGCGAAATGTACTGAAGATATCTCATCTGCGAAGGCTGTGGGTTTAAAGGAGATAAAATATTGAGAAGTTCCCTAGGAGCCTGCTTGTAAACCATTTCAAGAGTCTTCTGCTCCCCACTGTATTGTTTACGGTACAACAGAAGACCCGCAAGCATAAACGCGAGAACAGGCCATCCTCCTCTTTCACAGTGCATCAACAACACATTCTGTTGCCCCTCCAATGACAACCAACTCTCACTCGAACGAAGGAAGTGATGAATCATCTCTAGTGGCAACAGCGGGCACCCCTCATATTGCCGAGGGTAATCCATTACTGTCATGTCATACTGCGTAAGCACGTCGGAAATTTGGCTCCTCTTATCCCCTTCTCTGAAGTTAAACACCATGAAAGAAGCATCTGGGAAGTAGTCTTGCAGCTGTGCTACAATGCCACCCAAGTATACTTTGTACTCATCTTCTTCCAACACATCGGTCGAGAAGCAGCAGTCGAAAACTGCAAAATTCGGAGCCAAAACAAGTTAAAATCAATCCACATTACACTAAAAGGTTCACAATTTTGAGCTAAGACAATCCACAAACATATATAATGAGCGAAAAAACAAAATTTGATCGAATTCTAAGCAAATTCAATCGCATTTCAACAAGAACCCCAAAAAAAGACTCTGAATTTCCATCAAATTCAACCGCATTGGCCCAAACATCAACAGATTGAGCACAAAAAGACCAGAATTTGGCAAAATTCTCAAGAAAGACGAAACGGCGACGTACCGTACACCCGCTCGGAGATCTCAAGAAGCCGATCCGGCGGCTTCCGATAGAAGAATCGTCTGAACAGCGCCATCTGATGGCGCTGTTTCTCCCCCGATCGGATCCAAAACGGTAATCGAAACCAGCTCCAATTGGATCACAATTCCGATCCCTAGCAATATACGCAGCCAGATCTCGCCGATTCTTCAACGGTCCAAAACCCGACCCGAACGAGCCAAACCCTTCCGGCGAAACGAAAATCCCGAAAGAAATCGCCAATTGAGAAAAAATCAAAGGGGGGAATTGAATTCCCGAGACGAAGTGAGGGAGTGGGGGTTTTGGGAAGGGAAAGCAAAGGGAATTCTAGAGAGAGAAAGAAGAGAGAGAGAGAGAAGATAAGTGGACTGAGAAGGAGAAAGCAGCTACAAGACCCGACCCGTCTTCTTCTCCTTGTCTCCGTGGGGGCACCTCTGTGTGTCTTCTGCAACTCTCGCTTTCTTTTTTTATTTTTTGTTTAATTTAATTTCCTTCTTTTTTTTGTTTTTCCGTCTTTCGGGTGGGGCAGCGCGGCGGAGGGGGGATCGGCCGGCAGCTGTCCGACGTGGCAAATACGATAGTGGTAAATTAATTAATTGATGAATAAAATTCGTTATGAGATAATTAAGACCACTGTCACTGTCTGAAAAGAGAGAAGATTACGTTTGTGTCGGAAAAAAATTTTCTTCGGATCTCTTCCATCAAATTCATCATATCCATTTAATCATTTAATTCAGATATTTAAAATTTGATCAAACGGTCAAAATTATTATAACTTTTAAAGAAGTTCCCTGTTTGTAGATGTTGGATCAAATTTCAAGGGTTCGAATTGATTGATTAGGTGGATTTGATAGAAGGGATCCGAAGAGAATTTCTTTTCGTTTCTTAGGTCTAAGGTAAAAACTTTTTTTTTTTTGGTATTTACAGTTTAGTCAAACTTATGCTTTCAACATAGAAATTATTATTCATCATGTAGTACTAAGATCTAATTATATTCATTTTTACTTATAAGTGAGAGGTCTTATATTCGATTCTTACTAAAGGCAAGTTTGAACCATATTATTATTAGCCCATTGTGAGATTAAGTTCACCCACTCCCCCTTAATGTAAATAATATCGTTTGTTCAATAAATAAATAAACATAGAAATTATTCATGATTGACAAGCATTGAGAAAGTTTACTTCCTTTTAAGAGAAATGTCAAAGAGACTCTCCTAAAGTTTTGAATTCTTCATAGACTCTTTGATATCTTACAATTTAATATTAATTTTTCTAGCAATCTTATAAAATAATGTGCTGAAAATATGAGACAACAAATTGCGTAAGAAAATTTATTTTTTAAAGAATCTGCTTAAAATTTTTCTCCTTTTATTGCAACAAATTAGTTGGGTTGGAAACTTAAAAGTGCTGCAAAGCAACGACTCAAGTTTATTTCGAAACAATCATTCTCAAGATAAATTAAGAATCACATAATTAATTTGTGTGATCCGAGTTTTGTCTTCTTTTATGTATTCCAACTATGAAGTTGTTTCAGAATGGGACGATTTACTTCGAAATTTCTAAGGTACATAATTATTTTAATTTGCTTTGATTTACCATCCAAGAATTTTCCAAAGTCTAAGTCCCAAATGTTCATCTTTTGAGGATAGTGGAGTAAAGAAATTATATAATCATACCACATAACGTTCCAAAAAAAGGTCATGTCGTCGAATAGCCAATCCCTATGTGCGCGCAGTGCGCTGACTCTCTCCGCTATCTGGGTGACTTTCTTTGTGCCAACATGATCCTCTTCGGATCGTGAAGATTTTAGAAATTTATAAATTGTGTTCGTTTATTATATATTATGTGATCAATTTTTATTAAGATTGTTTATTTTTAATTTTAAATAAAAAGATTAAAAATAATTTCTGACCTTACGATATACGATGAACTGAAAAGATTAACAAATTCTTGGAATCCTCACAAAAATTGACAAAATTAGTTGTGTCGGAAACTCAATAGTGCTGCAAAGCAATGACTCAAGTTTATTTCGAAACAATCATTCTAAAGATAAATCCAGAATTACATAATTAATTTGTGTGATCCAAGTTTTTTCTTTTTTTTTTTATGTATTCCAACTACGAAGTTATTTTCAGAATGGGACTATTTACTATGAAATTTCTAAATTCTGGTACATAATTATTTTCCAAAGTCTTAAGTCTCAAATGTTCATCTTTTGAGGATAGTGGAGTAAAGAAATTATATAATCATACCGCATAACGTGCCAAAAAAACGTCATGTCGTCGATTAGCCAATCCCCATGCGCGCGCAGTGCGCTGACTCTCTCTACTGTCCGGGTGCGACGCTTTTGACACGTCATCAGATCAGATGGCACTTGTCTCATCAAATCAAGACATTTCTTTTTCAGATCGGCTTCTCTGTCATTCCACTTCCCATACACTCTCATTTTCTTTTATTATTTTGTGTAATCACAGTTAAGGTATGTTAATATTTTATATTAATTTTTTTTATAAAGATAATAAGATAAAAAATAATATTAATATAAAATATTAACATGATTTAACCGTGACCGTACAAATAAAAGAAAATAAAATTGTATAAAAAATGAAAGGGTAGAGTAGCTAGGTCCTTCTTTTTCCTTCTTCTAATTGTACGTTTCCGTTTCCCGAAATGCCTTTTACTCGTTATCGACTGTACGACAGCTTTTCAGTCCCGAGGGATGTCGTTTAGCACTTGGAGCCGGAACCACCACGTGATTGCTCTCTCACGTGTATTCGTTTGGACCGTCTAATTTGTTTTCATTCGCGGTCCAATCACCGCCGTCCAATCTTTTACTTTCATCCAATTCAACCAATGGACGGTGACAATGAAATATAGGGTGGTGGTCAAGCAACTTTTGTTATATAGTAATAATCTAAGACACATCATGTCATAAAAAATTAAATCAAAAATCATTGACTGGTTGTTAGTAGCCTACTCTCCAATTTATATGCGCAAGATGAAGCAATTTATCTTGCTGAGCAAGATAAAGCTCGCACGTTATTTTGATTTGTGATTTTTTACCATAAATCATTGACTGGTGCTGATGGATGTTTACTTAGGGATCTCCAAGGCTTGTTTTGTTTGTTCGGATGTTGTTTCTTAGTTTTGTTTGGGATTTTTGACCACATTATTTACTTAAGTTGTTAATTAGAATGTTAATAACTTTAAATTTCCTTGTAACCAAAGAAACATTGTCATTACAGAAATCAGAGGCACATGTTGGGGTGAAAAGCTAGGACCACTAAGGCAATGAGATCCAGATCCAGATCCACGTGGCGTACATGCAATGCAACTGATTTATCAAAGGAGGCAGATTGTCTGCTCTCTTGAATGGGTGCCCTTCCTATCCATTCTTATTTGTGCGATCACGGTTAAGTCACATCAATATTTTATATTCCTATTGCTTTTTATCTTATTATCTCTATAAAAAAAATCAATATAAAATATTTATGTGATTTAACCGTGATCTCATAAAATAAAAAAGGATGAAAATAACACTAAACAGGACGGCAGACAATCTGCCTCATTTGTCAAAACATCAGAAACATGAACGGTGAGATTACAGTGATCATCTTAAAAGGGCCCCACGAAATGATTACAGCCACTCCGTGCATGCCATGTGCACCCTAGCATATTCTGAGAGAATATTTTATCAATTGGGGAGATGATTCGTGAAAGCGAGACCTCACCTTCTAAAACCTTCACCATCATGTGTTTGTCTTAAGGTAATTATTATGGTAACAGTAATCCCAATTGCTTCAATAACTATTTTTGATAACCACTTACTTTAATTCATTCGATGGTACTGATTAGGGATTCGTTTGAAAACGATTTTAGAAAAAATATTGTTGGGTTCTAAAAGTACTTAAAATGTTTCCTGTAAGAAGCATCAGCGCTTCAAGTACTTTTCGAGAATTCACTTGCATTTTTATTAAGACTTTGATTCTAAAAATACTTTCATCAAAAATATTTTTAATCATTTTAAAGATACTTTTAAACGAGTGCTAGTACTAATTATTAAGTAACAGAACGGTGTTTGTAATAAGGACTATTTTGGTGTTGAGCAAAGCAAGGGTGTGAGTGTTGATTGATAAGCCTCGCACATGATGTGCACTGTTAACGACCACGTAGAGGAGAAAAACTTTCATGCGACAAGAATGTTATGGTGATAATATCTTAAGTCAATCATTTTTATGTGATGAGTTTAACGTATAACAATACGTATTTGGCTTGAAATATTGTCATAGAGACAAAAAGATGCAGGTACATTTCTCTAACTAGCTCAAACAATTGTACGTTATGAATTGTACTTTCTTCAAATTAAGCTGTTAACATTGCTCAGCAGTTTCTCATGCGGAATGCGATCTTATTAGTGCCCGTTAGGTGTGGGTGTAAGTGACTAATCATGCATTGTATTTGAAAAAGTCAAAACACATAATAATACGTGATTAACTTAAAATATCGTTACGGACGTAAGTTTATCTTGAATAATAGACTAGCTCTGACAATGATTATGACTTGAAGGGTTTGAGTGGAGGAAAACCAGATAGACCCCTTTTTTATCTATGGCAGTGACAGATTTGGGCCATTGGTTCCTTTTCATGTCCCCCCCTTTACAATCATGGAGGTTGCAGAGCCCTTCACTCATGCTTTAGTTTTTCATCTTACGTTGTTTTCTATTTGTTTTCATCCAATTGATGCAAAGCTTACAAGTTGTAGTTGTAGCTAAGGTTTTGAGATATCTAGTAGAGACTTACATGAGATGGGGACACCAAAGACACATGCTGAAGGTGTCCCGAACTTATCATGTCTCCATATGTTTGAACTTTGTTACACGACGACACATAATTGATTTGAAACACCATCACCTTTACATCATTGTTTCGGTGAAGTTATTCCCTCAATCACAGGTTAAAAGCTACATGAAATCGAGTGCACTCCTTAAGTATTTGTCTCTTTCTTCATGTCTCACGTACGAAGTATATTGTATAGACCTGATTTCAGATAAGTCTCTCTCTCTCTCTCTCTCGTAGGACTTCCATTCCGTGACATGAATACACGGTGATACAACATCATGTAAGTTTTTATTTACATACGGTTGTTTTACTAACACGGAACACCACAACAGCAGTATACTCACGCCTTCGAGGTCTCCATCAAATGAATGACTTCCTAATCCACATGATAAAAATTGGATTGGACTTAAATGTGAAGTTGGATCAGTCTTAAATCTAAACGTGTTTCAGATTTTGGGCCGCCAAATGTTGTATGCGTGCAATAATCTGAGCCTGTCAAACGTTTAAATATGCAAACCTGCTGCGAGCTAAGAATCCTTCCATTTTTGCTGTTCTTTCACTTCAAGACTCTTCTGAAAGCTGAGAAGTTCAGAAGAACCAAAGCTATAACGATACGAAGAGAGGCCTGATGCCCTAACCTACGAAACAAGAAACTGTACATGGCTTTTCCTCGGAAACCATTGCTACGAATCTATACATTAGCCCAACGGGACTTTGACAAAACAGGAAACCAAGAGCTAATCAGGCAACAAACAAAAAGTTTGAACAAGAGAAAGAGACCATGCTTTCCTCCCCTCCCGAATATTCTAAGGTGGATCGGTAGTTTCTCTGCTTGCTTTGTCACCGAGTTTGTGGCGGAGATTTTCACTTCCTCAACTAGTATATGCAGCCACCTAGATGGAAATGCCAGCAACCAAGTTGAACTCTTGTATAATCTGTTTCTCGTCGAGACCTGTTTCCTTTTCTGGTTTACTCAAAAGTCTCTCCATCAGACATTTACTTCCCCTGCTTCTTACCTGCAATTCAAAAGTCACATTATTTAGCCAAAGACAGCCATTGCAATCATCACCTATATTTAGTAAGCTACATGATAATGTAGTAATGTACCCCTCTCCATCCCCGATCCACTAGGTCTGTGGGGAAAACCAGAAGATATATGGTAAGTTAGTAGTGTTAGTCCTGTACCTCTATGAAACCATGAGTTCCGGGTCGCCCTTCTGATGCGGCGCTCATGTCTGTCCAAAAATTCATCAACTCTATACGGTTGAGACAACAAGGGTCCAGAAAATTCAACCTTGTCTCCTTGATCTTGAACTTGAAACCCCTGTTACAAAACCAATATTAATGAGGTTAAAGACGCCAGGTGATCATATATAACATCACCAAAAAGAAAATTTGTTTGCCTTACAACTTGTATTCAACTCGACCAAAAAAATGAGTAACTACGAAAAGCTAAAAGATAAATGAGACGGTATTCTTGTGGTGTTCCAGGTAATGTGAAAACTGGGAGTTGTATGTCGAAAGTCATATAATTGTATCTGACTTCTGTATTTACAAACTTACTGTATCACTTTTAGCTGCCATTTCCTCTCTCTGATAAAGTGCCAATGATAATTCCTGCGAATGGTACTCCTCGGAAGCATCAAAGGAATCTGGATGCTCAAGCTTGCCCCATTGTTTCAGCATCGCAAGCTTTGCAATCTCGTATGAATCTTGCCCTCTAGAATCTGTGCACCCCTTGTACGTAAGTTCCCCATTTTCATGCCTTCTTGGGTCAAAGTTGCTCCTTGTATGCACTGTGATCGAAGATTCTAACGTGTTAAAAATGTGTCCTCTTGAAATAGACCGAGTATGAGATCTTCTAGCCTCATCTTTTCGTCTCTTTGCCCATGCAAAGCCACTTGATGTAGAAACCTCTAATGGACCGGTGAACGGAATGTCTCCTTGAGATGCATTTTTTACATGCGAAGAGTCTTCTGCTTTACCAGCTGACGGCTTTGGAAGCTCCCTACCTACTATTGAATTATCTTCCTTGAGAATATGTCCATTACTGCCATTAATTTTATAAGAACCTCGAGACTCAGCTGCCAAGTCCTGCAAGATAAGGTTGAGATTATCAATAAGAACCTTCAAATGGTTACCATTAAAACACACAGACCCGCGAACAACATACAAGAGAGAGACCTCTGCTGGTGCCAATTTACTAAACCCAAGTGACTTTCTTGCTGGCTTTCGTGTTTCAGATCCACGAACTCGCCCACCAATTTTTTTCCTGAAAATTCAGCGACCGCACTAAATTTCAATTTTCATACTTTGGTGAGGACTACACTAATTTTTTTCACACAAGAGAACGAGAACCACTCACCTATTTGCCTCCTCCCGGTTGTTCGCATCTATCTCCTTGCTAGGTGGGTATATAGGCAAGCTTGACGGATCGCATGCATGAGGCTTCATTTTGAAATACTGAAGTGGGAATAAAGAATACTGTATTAGGAAAACCTGAATGATGAGAACCAACGCATAAGGTACATATTACATTATTTTGCACGTTACCTCGGATGCAAGAGCGGAGGAGGCAGTCCCACGCTTGTGTGGTTCTACAGAAAGGAGAGTCTCTAGTAGGTTCAAAGTGGCTGCAGGAAAATCTTTAAAGGTATCCCGCAGAGAACTATCGTAAGGTTGTTGTGGTTTAAATAGAGTGGCGTGAGGAAGTTTGGACTTTTTCCAGTAATCTTCTGGCGGGGAGCCACAAAGCTTGAAAATCTTGTGTAATTGTTCAACCTGTCAGTGGAAAATGCATATAAGAAATCGAACAGGAGCACCAAAGCAAAGTATGGCAACAGCAATCCTTGTACAACTTTAGATGCTTACATAAAAGAGGACTAATTAACGCATCCGAAGAGAATCAACGTGTTAGTTCTCATAAAAATATGCACTAATTAAGAGAATCAGATCTTTAATTTTTCGATTTATGCAAGCATAACAGAGGACTCCACATTCTGACTATTTTTCCAAGACTGATAAAGAAAAGCAATGTATTTCGATTCGTTAATCACCTCTGTTCTCCCTTGAAGAACAGGTTTCCCCATTAGTAGCTCTGCAAACGCGCAGCCAACACTCCATAGATCTATAAAAGCTCCATAATCAGTCGATCCAAGCAAAAGTTCAGGAGGACGATACCATAGAGTTACAACACGACTGGTTAGGGGTTGCTTATGACCGGTATTACAGAAGTTTGCCAACCCAAAATCAGCCACCTTCAGAATTCCTTCATTGCTCACCAGAAGATTTGATCCTTTTACGTCCCGATGCATTACACCCCGCGAGTGACAATGCTCAAGTCCAGATAACAGCTGCTTCATGTAGCATTTAATCTACAAAATACAGCCAACATCACCAATTTGAGCTTCAACATGAACGGAAAGATAGACGACTACTGTGAAGTAGAACATCATGAAAGATGAATCCTACTAAACTAGCATGACAACTATTCATAAGAGAAATGGAAGCAAACCTGTGCCTCACTGAATTTGATGTCAGGGTTAGACAAGAGTCCGGTAATGTCATGTTCCATGTACTCGAACACAAGGTATATGCTACATGATAATCGGGAAGTAATTAAGCCCTCCAGTTTAACGACGTTTGGATGGTCAAGCCTTCTAAGAATCAAGATTTCTCGTGCCATAAACCTGACGCTTTCAGGCTCAAAATTGTCAAACCGCACCTTCTTCAAGGCAACTATCTTCCCAGTTTCGAGGTCCCGTGCTCGGAACACACTACTGTATGTACCCTGTCCAATCTATTCAAGGAGTTGCGATCGAATAAGAACAGATAAGAAGAAAGATGGTAAACTATCAAGAGTAACAAAACATATACCATGTAGATATAGTTTCTACAATTCACAATCAATTAATACTTGCAATGAAGAATACAAACAATAACAAAAGTTAGATTATAACGATCCTATCGAAAAATATATCATGTAGATATTCCGGGACAGCAAAATTAACCATGTCGAAGGTTTAGACAAGAAAAAAACAGTCACAGAAACACCAGTTTGGATTGGCCTTGCGTTTTACCAAACAATCTGCAAATGGTAAGTTGTTGTAAGCTTACTCCGATGCACGCCATCAATTTCAAGCAAGTGCTTAAAGTGTTTAGCTTTTTAACCAGTCGATATTCTAAACTACTCTAATTTAGACGGGATCAAACACAGGTTCAAAAACTACTCTAAACAAATATGCCAACTTTGTAAGTAAGTGTAAGAAGATGAAGTGTAAATGTCTCACTAGCTACATTGAATTTTAACGTTTGTGCTCAACATTTTTGTAAAATCCAAAACTTTTTTAAACAAAAACCAAACAATCAACAGAAAAACTCAAACTTCGCAAACAAAATCTAATAAAATGAGTGAGAGGGAGAGAGAGAGACTCACTTTCTCTAACTTCTCATAGGCATCGGCACGGAGTGGGACCCACCCTTGAATGGCTTCGCCGGCGACGGCGCTGAGCCAAGTAGGCCAGCCTGCGGCCACCTGCTCACCCTCCACATACTTCTGCAGATTGCTCAATCTAAAACTCAGAGACTCGGAATAATTATTATTGCTCTTGTGACAATTCCCGCCACCGCCGCCGCCGCCGCCATTCGAACTCGCTCTTCCTGACTCACCCAACTCGCTCCCGCTCAACTCAGCCCCCTTCTTACTCTTCTTCTCCGCCTCCCCCAGCCCGACCCGACTCCGACCCGAATTCCCCACATTGTCCCTGAAGGCCCCCGAGTGGTCGAACGCCGGCGTCACAGACACCGCTTGCTTCGAGCTCACGCAACCCATCGCCGGGCGCCGACCCAATTACCATGCACGACCCACCCGCCGAAATCTGGGTGTATCGGGAAGCCGCCGGCTCAGCTCGGGTTGGAAGTCCGGAGCAACCAACTAGGGAACCAACCAACTGGTTTGCTCAAAACATCAAAAATGGAAAATGTAGAGCTGGAATTGAGGAGCAAACAGAAACTGGGTTTTATACAAACAATCCAAAGATAGAATGTTCGTTTGTAATTATATTCATTTCATCACTTGCTTTCTCTCTCTAACTTTTTTTTTTTTGGCTTTTTTGAAAATTTAATTTTCCTTTTTTTTTTTTTGCGGTAATCGCGGGGATGGGGATAGAGGATTTTAATGCGCGGTTTTCTTCATGCAGACGGAACAAAATGTATATGTGCCCTCCTCGTGCTGCCAAAATTTGAGTCTTTTTTTGTTTTTTTTGTTTCTATAACACAGAACGATATTTTATACTAATTTGCGTTAAAGAAAATAAAAAAAATGTTTGAATCTGGAATGCAAGATGTTAAAAGATGAAGATTTTAACTATCAAAGCAATTTACATGCAGTTTTCTTTCGTTTTTTAATGTCGCTTGTACGTGGTATTTCTCCTCACTCCTTAAGGGATGAAAATGTCTTAAACTTAATTTAAATTGATAGCAAGTTTCGTATTTATTTATTATAACTAACTTATTGTGTAGCTTCACACAAATATCTCACTTATTCAGCTAATCATACCGTTGTCTAAAAAAAACGATACTAATCCACATTACGTTTTGATTATGTTTTTTCAAGACGTAAAAAATGTTACTTTTCTTTGCTTTTTTTGTAAACAAAATGAGAACGCGTCATGCGATTGCCAACGGGAGTTTTTGTGGGGACTGTTCTTGTTTTGTTTGCAACCATTTTATTCTCTGCTTTTTGTTTGCATTGCTATTTTTCTTTGTTTCCATTGCTAATTTGTGTGTGTTCAAAGTTATTGAGGTTTGTATTATGTAGGCCACCATTAGGCAGCTACATGGGGTTGCATATTGCGCATGGGAGGGAAATAGACTGGCATTACACAAGTGGGGTCCCAATCAAGTTTGGGGATTGGGAGCTAGTTTAGTGGTTGGGTCATGAGTCATGAGGTCATGAACTCATATATGGGGTAGTTGTTGTAATGTTGACCAATGGTATATGTAATGGGGTTGTGATTGTGTTTTGGGTTATATAAATTGATTTTGAAGCAACTAGTTCTTGGTTTAATGGTAGTTGTATTAATTTAGCTGGTAATGTTTTAGGCTCGATTCTTCTAGGTGCAAGAATAATACATTTCGTAGTTTAATTTAATGTTGATAGTTGTCTCTACTCGTCTTAAGTTCGACTGACTTACTTTATTAGTATTTGTGATGAATTCAATACCTAGTTGTAACTAGCTCAGTTAAAGTAGTCTCCTAACACCTGTCTTCACTTATCTCAAATTCAACTCACTTAGTTTATTAAGACCTATAACGAAATCAATATCTAGTTATTATATAGTTATGACTAGCCAAATTACAGTGACGTAATTTTGTCGCTGGTGTGGTGGCGGTAAAATATTTATACAAAAATCATATATATTTCAAAACCAAATATATCTTATTTTGTAAAGTCTGTTTCAAGCTTTGGCATTGGAGTAGGGGTTGGGTTTGTGGATAGATCCAAGAAAGGGGAATGGAAGGAAAGAAAGGGAGTTGATTAAAGAAGACTTTTGTTTTTTGGTGAACGATTAAAGAAGAATTGGAAAGCAAGAAAAAGGAGAGAGGAAAACTCGAACAAAAGACCCTTCCTTCTCCATGCTGTTCTTTTGCCCATCTCCCACTTCTAAGTTTCTGACATTTCTTATGAGGCCTTCAAACTTCATTAGTCTCATGGCCCCACATGTTGAGTTTGATGGTGGGATCCACTCAATAATTGGGACAAAGCATCTCTATGCTTAATCTTAGTTTAGGAATAAAAAAATGATAAGAAGACTCTCTCAAAAGTGAGATTTTTTTTTTTTATGAACTTTGTGTCATCTTATATTTTTTGCATAATGTTTTATAATGTTAGCACGAAAATTAACGTTAAATTGTTATGTGATAAAAGTCCATAAAAAATCCGACTTTGGAAGAGTGTGCATAACATTTCTCTTTGCAGTTGTAGCTCAAGTTGGTTTGCTGCATCTGCCCACCAAAATGAAGAAATGAATCATCTTAATTATATTATCTGTTTTTATCTCAGTTTGGTAGGAGTATCTAAGTCCCTAAATGTAAAATTTAATATCATAATATCTAAATATTGATGAGTGAGATTGACAACATTTCATTTATTGAAGGAGTACATTTTTTGGGTGCTGAAAATAAATGAATAGTGGGGTTTTCACAATTGACACTTTTCATATGATGATTTGAGGACATACAATTGATGAGATGTGAAAAAAGTAGTTAGCTAAAAAGTAAATATATTTAAGGGCATGTCTGAGAAAGTGAGGAGCAATGCATAAATGTAAAGTTGTGATCTACTCAAACCACATCTCAATCACAAAGTAAATCCAAAGCAATTATGCAGTACAATTGATGTTAAAAGTAATTTTTCTTAGTTTAATATACATTGTCGGCGTATTTTTTTTTTACAATTTAAGGGCTCATTTGAAAGCTTATTTAAAATAATTAAGAGTGTTTTTGGAGAAAATGTTTTTTGGTTCCAAAAGCAACAGGAAATACTTTTCAAAGTTTCACTAACATTTTTACTAATTAAAGATTGGTCTAAAAAACATATTCATCAAAAGCGCTTTCAGCTATTTTAAAAGTACTTCCAAATTAGCCATAAAGTTTCGAGTCTAATATGGTATCAAAGTTTTAGTTTTTTCATGAGGTTTCGTTGTGCCGTGAATCTGTCTCTACTTAAGCTTTTGAGGCTTAGTAGTTATCTAATATGATATTTCATGAGTTTTTGTTGCGTTGTGTATCTTTCTATGGTTAAAACTTGGATTCCATGAGGTTTCGTTTTGCTGTGCATTTTTCTAGGCTTAAGTTTTTAGAGCTTAATCTTATGGAGCACGGCAGTTGTCTAACAATGCTAATCCTTGATTTTCAAGCTTCCCAGTTACAAAGATAGCGAAGCCGACCTTCTTAAGTCTGTTCAGCTGAGGTTTAACAAATACTTGTTGAAGTGAGGGGTCTGCTGCTTTGGTAATCTACGTGCAAAATACGCAATATGTTAGCTTATTTTTTGGTTTCCACCAAACAATATATGCATGGAGTTTCGTACGTTCATATGACATACACAAAAATAGTATAATCTATATCAATTTTACTATTATAATTAGCTAGCTGTGATGCTACAACCTGGACCAATCCATCAATGGGATGTATGTATTAGCTATGCATCAGGATTCTTTCCCCTCGTATTCTCCTCTTCTCCAGTCTCCCCTCTCCCTCTTATTTTTTCTTTCTTTCTCGCTCTATAATGAAGACAACATAAAATGTTGTCGTGGTTTAATCATGATCATTTAAATATGAACAGACTCAAGAAGAGGGAAAATGGAAGAAGAGATAATTCTACTTCATGGCTATAACCTTCTAATTAGTTGGTTAATAAGATTATGATAATCCAACTTTTACGTACTTAAATTAAGAAATTGGCATGTGATGTGTGTGCATGCCAGTTGCCACCACTACCTTGAACTCTGACCCTTAAGGTATGATTGCTGCTTCCCATGATCCAACCAAAATCTCTAGCCACTCATCGATAGCACTCACGCACCAGAAAATATAAGAATTTGGTTATCATATATTTTTTAATTTACAAAAAAATAGGTTATCATATTAATTTGTTTTTATTAATTATCACATTGAGGCAAAGAGCACCACTAGCCCTAGAGCTATTTTTACATTGACCTAAGGCTTACTTTTGAATATTTCTTGATGACCTTGAAACCTACTTTTCGTAAGAAACCCCAAACCCTAATTCTGAAACTAGAATCTTCTTTTGGATATATGACCAATTTTTCTTCAAATGTCTGAAATTTCTAAGTTCAGAAATGAACGGTAAAGTTTTACTCTAAATGAATCAAATGATAAAAATTACTTAAAAAATTAGACTACTTGTTAGACTTGAACTATAAAAGACAAATCCGGAAACCAGATTGCACAGTTAACCTTAAAGAATTAGGGATATTTGATGGGGTAGTTGAAGGTAGGTCTAGTTGCATGTGTGTCACTTACAAAGACCATATAGTTCAACGACTTCACTCATATATAATATGATTAAGATCATGGTGTAAATATATTAAGAGGAGCTAATTAATCAACAGCTATATTTGTCCTTCTTTGGTGAATACATTTTTAATATCTTATTTATAGGCAAAAGATAGAAGAACCAGTAGGACAGGTCCCAGACTAACAACGACAAGACAAACAAATAAGTAGATGTGTGGTTTTTTGGTTCAGTTATTTAATTATGCTTCTGAAACTGTTCACTGTTAATCATTTTAATTATCTTGTAAAAATAATTTTGTTAAATTGAAGAAATCACTAGTTCAAATGGAGAGGTTCATTTGACAAAAATACTCTTAATTTAACAAATATTTTTCACTGAAGGATTCAATTGATTTACTGTGGACAATCACATGGATCACTACTATCGATTTTAAATCTCAAGAATCAAACTAAAGAATTATGCTAATCTCAGAGACCATTTAAGTTAAAAAATATATTTAAATTATTTTTTTACAGATATTTTTGACTCACAAATAATAAAAAAAAAAGAAGAATATATATTCACGAATATGCTTTTAGGTTTGGTTGCATGGACTTATCAAATAATAATACGCTTTTAGGCTGTTAGGTTAGGTTAATTATCATTGTTATAATTAAAGTTACTCTATATATAATGTCAATTCCAGTAGAACATAACGAATATATATATATATATATATATATGACGGATCCGTGATATCATTTTTTTACACAAATTTGGCATACGTTTTGTAAGATCCACTTCATTATGTATTTCAACAATCAAAATTGTCTACATTTTATAACATCATTTATAGATCATCCTTATGAAAAATTAGAAAAATCTAAAACTATTAAGACGTTTATTTAATACCCAAAATTGATGAGACACATTATTAATGCATTCTACAAGTTTTAGTAAACACAAGATTGAGAATCATACTTATTCACATACATGACGAGTAAACGTGCCCTCAATTGCGCCCAAAATCAAGTTATTTTGGTAGTCTGGTATAATCTAGTATCAAACTTGCCAAAAGATATAAGGTTCGCTTGAAAGTGCTTTCAAAACAATTGAAATCATTTTTGATGAAAATATTTTTAGAACCAATTCTTAGTAAAAACGCAAATGAATCTTGAAAAAGCATTTAAAATGTTTTTGAGATTCAAAAATATTTTATTTAAAAACGATTTTAATCATTTTAAAAATATTTCTAGCTCATGCTCTAGTCTCTCCCTAAAATGAGCTTTAAGATTCATGATTGCTTGGAGCTAGACTTGTACCGCAGTCGATGGGTCAATGAAGAAGGTAGGTCTCAATGGAGACATGACCCATTATTCTATTATGTCCCCTCTACATAATGTTCCTACTATTTATTTGGTTTAAACTTTATTCCAACAACCTTCAATGATTAGACGGTGGTGTAGCATCAATCGTGCATGCTTAGATTTTTTATTTTATTTTTAGAGAATTTTTTTTGACAATTTCTTGATTTATGCGTGTCATCTTTGCGGAAAGGCTATGCTAATTTTCTTTGTATCGTTCCAATTTTATCAGATGTCCCTAAAGGGACTGCATGCTTAGACCTTAGAAATGCTTGAATTAGTAATGTCCCATTCACTAATCATGTATGCTAAGATTTTATTTAACTAAGTAGGAAGTTATCTCATGTATGTTAAGAGGCGGAAACACACATGAAGGAGAAAACAAACTTTAAGAAAATATATGGAGTATTTAGAACTAACAAAAGATATAACGCAAAACTGAGTGAGTGGTGTTTTATGATTCATACAGCTGACCTCACTTAGTGGAATAAAGCTTGGTTGTTAATTGTTGTTGGAAGAGACGGAAGTAGACACGAAGGAGAAAAAGAGATGTGTTGTAATCATTTTCGTAAAACAATGAGTGATACTTCAACCGTTTCCATTGACTTAAGCAAGATAAGAAAATTGCCTTGATGGGGGAAGATAAATTCCAAACATTATGTCAATGGCCATGATGGTACAAGGAAAGTTAAAATTTGATTAACATGTCTAATCAGACATTATACAAGTTGACCCAAATTTGTGTGCAGGGTCACAAGTTGAATTGATGAACTCACTTTAAGTCTTAAAAACTAGTAATTGGGTGCTAAAGAGCCCAACCTATGGCAACTTGCAAGCAGCTGTTTGGTCTTTCGACTTGTGCTGTCCAAGCATCTCGGCTACAGTTCTGCATCGGCATTGGTTTCCTGGGCGGATCACGTCACCATATACGGCCATTTCGATTATGTCAAGCGCCTTATCTGCAAGTAAAAGAGATGTGTGATCATGAGATACGAGTCTCACCAGTTCTAATAACGAACTAGCTTCCAAGTAGGCCAGAATGAACACCAAAATACCACTAGGTTGAAAGCAATGTGCCAACAAAGAAAATCACAACTGTGTTGACTCGGATAGAAAGGCAATCAGAAGTTCGCACAAATGCTTTTTGAATGCTGAAAGATTCAAATTACTCAGAAGGTTCCTCCTCTTCTCCATCATTTTATGAAGTAAATCTTGCAATAGCTGGGGTCTTGGAGAAAGCGGCCCAAGTTGAAATTTTCCATTCCCTTTTCTTTAAATTTGGAATTCGTTGAATGATTTACTTTGTATAATGAACAAATAATCAAATCTAGGTTTATGAAAATATTCCGATAACAAGATCTGCTGCTCTTTATGTTCAAAAACAAGCACTAGGAAGTCAAGGATATGGGGAAGGATCAGGGGAAAAGGTTTTTCTGAGAATAATTGCAGAAGGTAATTATGAAATTAAGTGGAATCGTCGTTATCAGAAAAAGTTCAGAGCAAAGGTATAGCCTAAACTACAGTGTGGCATTTTCACTTTGAATATAAGCTAGAGACAAAGTGCATCCCGCCCTTCTGCTTAGATAATTGATCATGAGTTAATGTCTCTAGACATAAAGCTCCGACCTTTTTCCATAACGAAAGGCATACTAGAACAGTAGTACGAGTGAACCTGGGTAATTTGTATTTCTGATTTCATATTTACACCAATAAGAATATGATATGATGTCAATTCTCAATCGGGAAAAATGATGAGGTTATGTAGCTCAACAAAGACCAAGCTAGCCAAACTTAACCCTTCAGTCCATCCTATAAACTAACCCACAACCCTGTTAGCACACCTACATTGTGAACAGTGACCCCCGACTGGAACATTTACAAAGCATTGGACATACTGAGACATAAAGTCCTAGTACCATGACTAAAACCAGTATTGTACATATGGACCTAAAACATATATTCTCATTGCGAATCTTTGGACACTTTAGATCAGAAAAACAGGTTATAAGAATTGTTCAAAATGGTGACAAATTCCGGATGACACCCATAATTGTTATCAATGGAACGTAGGAGCATCAGGTCACGTAGATTCACGAAACACGTTCTAAACTTTGATTATAGTCATGTGCACTTGACTTGAAAACAATCACCCCTAAAATCATTAGATACGAACAACAATGATGAATTGTGTTTATGATTCAAAGACAAAACCATTATGCTCGACCCAATAACCACAATTCTGGGTTCCAAACTAAATAGATCAGAACTCCGAATCTAATATTAACAGTGAAGAAGAGAACGCGAAAAACTTACCTGTAAACTTGACATCACAAGAGTAACCTTTCAATATATTTGTATCGATTTTGTCTTTGTCGGATTTGAATCTGTTTACCCTTGTTTGAAGAATCTGACAATTTTCTTCTGTGGATTCACCACCTACAACACAACCCCAAATCTCGATTAACTCAAACACCAAATTGGCTGACAGATTAAAGCCCACATTTGCATGTTTACTGCTGAGGAACAGCAAAGAAATAACTTCCGAAATTTTTTGCCTCATAAAACGCCACGATTTGAATTTGAACAATTCAAAAAGTGAAAAAATAATGTAAATTACATATCAATTAGAGTCAGCTAAGAGGGCAAGTGATTTTCAAAAATAAAACCCAATAAAAGCACAAATAACAATATCGAAATTCAGCTCAATTAAGTAGTATATGCACTAAAATGCTAAATTTCAAAATACCCAGTTCAAAAATCATCAAAAACCAATCAAATTATTGAAACTTTGCAATAAAATTGCTAAAATTCAAGATACCCAGTTCAGAATTCATGACAATCAATCAAAAAATTGAAACTTTGCGGAGAGAATTTGAAACTATCTAGTTGAAAAGAGAGGAAGTTCTGACCTTTGGAGAAGGGAACGATGTGATCGTACTCGAAGCAGAGGCAGCCCTGGCAGTTGCAGAAGCGCTTACAGACGACGTTGCCGGCGGGGTCTTGCCGCCACCGCTCAGGGTGTCGACCCGGCACCACATCCGCGTTTGCCCAGCACTTGCTCTTCGTTTTTGAATCGAAGAACCGTGGTCTTTCGTCACCCTTGCTCTTCGGCGAAGAACTCATCCCCCCCTCTCTCTCTCTCTCTCTTCTTGAACCGGAAGAGACACAGAATTTGAGAGTTTCTACAGAGAGAATTTTTGCCATGTCAGATCGCTGACGTGGTCCCGGCCGCCAATCATATTGTACCACTTGTAATAACCTCCCGTCACTTTCTTAGTTCAGATCTGATCCAACGGTTAAGGATGACACCCTCAGTCTCTCCCCTCTTTTGCTTTTTCACTTGTTTAGAGCAACTCCAGCGTTGGAGCCCTCCCTCCTGGCAATTCACTATTCAATCCACCTAATGAACAGTAATTGCCCTTAATGAACAGTAAGTAGCCCTGGCAATAGATTTTGCATCTCCACCGTTACACTTCTATAGCCCTGGCAATAGGCAATAAAATATTAGTATTTTTTTTATTTATAAAATTAATACAAAATAATTTTAAATGTAATATCGGATAAGATTTTTAATCGTTGTCGGTGCGCCACGTGTCATTATCCTAAGTATTATTAAATAATACAAAATAAATAATTATAATATGGATTTCTGATAAGATTATTAACCAATCACGTCGCGCCACGTGTCATAATCGGTTCACAATCTTTGAGGATAGATTTCCATCAGATTTTAAACGAATGACGGCATGCCACGTGTCATAATCTGTTAACAATCTTGAGACAAAGAAAGGAATGTGATTGAAAGTGGTTGAGAAAATATGAAATTGTTGTGAAGGTAGATGATAATGAGAAGGTATTTATAGAAAAGTAAAAACAATTTTTTTTACAATTTTTTTCAGATTTTTTTTTGAATTTTTTTGAATTTTTTACATTTTTTTTTGAATTTTTATTCAATTAATTAATCTCTGCCGTTGGATATAAAAAAATTTGAATTCCAACGCTCCAGATTGTGCCACGTGTCACAACGGTAACTTTTCAGATTTTTTAAACTATTTTTTCATTTATTTTTTAATTTATAAAGCATTTTAATATCCACCGTTGATCTCAGATCGAACGGTGGATATTAAATCTGACAGTTTTAAAATTTTTTACCGTTGAGATCTAACGGTCCACATTAAGTGATCGTTAAGATCTAACGTACCGTGGGAAGCCACGTGGCTTCCCAACGGTAACAGACAAAACTTTTTTTTTTTCTGATTAAAGTGTCAGGACGCGCCCCCACGCGCGGGTGGGGTGCACGCGCCTGACACAAAAAAAATTAAATAATAGGCTGACGCCACCCTGGCGTCAGCATGGCGTCACTCCCACCCCGGGCTCAAGGCCTGTCAATTCCTCACGGGCTTGGCCCTCGGGCCTTCCCCTTCCCCCCGGCTTCCCAACGCTGGAGCCGATCCACCTTCACTCGGGCCTCCGTTTTGGAGCTCGTCCCCCGAGCTAAACCCCACGCTGGGGATGCTCTTAGGGTATGTATTTACTTACAGAGAATAAGAACTGAAATCTGATTAATTCTTGCGTTTTCTGCGTTTATTAAAATAGAGGTAAGTGAACCACTCCTTAATTTTTTTAGTATTTACTTACAAGTGTATCATAAAATTTTAAGTTTTTTCTTGAAATCCCTAATCACATACTTAAAAATTAAGAATTAAATTGACAAGAGATGACTAGTTGATTTGAATCTCCTTCCTTACTTCTCCTATTGTTTGCAAATTTTGTTGCGCAACGTGATTTCTGCACATACTTTTTACCGATAGTTTGAACATTCTCTCTTAAATTCTTGTCCAATCTGATGAAAAAGCTAGGAGTCTGCATGAATCATTTTCTTTTTATTTTATTTCTTCAGTTTCGTTTTGTTTTGTGTTCACAAGTTTTGCATATCTGAATAGTATAAAAAGAATCGCCTGTCACAATTCTTTGTTTAAGATTTTCATATTTTCCAAAATATAACGAGTGTAAATTCGAAAAATTTCGCACATCCTCAAAGTTCTTCTACTCGAACGGCATCACTGATTCACTGGGCATTTCACAGGCATCTTTCGGCCTTGGTTTCTTCACACCGTCACCGAACCACACTACAAACGTGGATAATGCATATCTAGATGTGAGTCACATGTTGAATTTTTAATGTGTGTATATATATGGAGATGGATCCATGATACTATTTTTTTACACAATATTTTGACCCAAGTTTTTCGAGTTTCAATAATGTATTTCAACAATCCGAACCGTCTTATATTTTAGGTCTCCCTAAAATACCATTTCTACAAAAAATCATTCAAATATGACACCATATAACTATTAAATTAAGGGTTTAGGGTTTCGTAGAACCGTATTCGTCAATTTCTTCACATTAAATGAATGTCTTCATGATTTTGAATTTGTCTAATTTTTTTTGTAAGGATGATTTATGAATAACATTATAAAAAACAGAAGGTTTGGATCGTTGAAATATATTAAGAATTGGGTCATTAAAACTTGTGTCAAAAGTTGTGCAAAAAATATGGTGCCACAGATCCATTCCCGTTGTATATACCATTAATTACTAAGAACAATTGGACTTAGCACATAAGTGCGCAGGCATATTCTTGTTGTCCATCTATATGTCACATTGTCCAACTACATTTGTTGCTCCCCATCTTTAGAACACAGAAGTGTTTAAATTCTGCCGAACGTTTCTGGCGATCAATCCAAAGCACTGGCGGAACATACACAGGAGAACCTTCGCCTTATTCTGCAGCGCATCCTCCAAAGCAAATAAAACAATGTTTCATTCCATCATTAATCCCCAGAATTCACATCAACTTTTCAGGAGATATAACTGACTGGGAAACATGGGGGAGACTGATACAAAACCAATTGAACCAGTCCAGGCTGCATTGTCCCTGTTTGAAGAGAAGAACGATCATCGGAAAACCCGGCTTTCCGGCACAGATGTAAGTGATCGTGTGTGTACACATGAACTGGTATGGTAACAGCCTAACAGCTCAGTTCTATAGGAAGATCCTTCCCTTTAAGTTTGAGTTGTAAAATATGCAGATGGTTTCCTAGTCCAAACTCATAGCTTCATTTTTTTTTTCTGTTTATGCAATTATGCTGTGTAGTTAAAGATGTGATGGCATAGTCAATTTGGATATAGCAATCTGCTCGTACTTTTGTAACTAAGTTTAAATCTCACTCTTCGTCATTGGATTACATTAGAATATTGCTCGAATAAAATGAAAACAAGTGATGCATGATCATTATTAGGTAATTTCTAGAATTAGTAGGGTTCCAAATGTGAGGATAATTCGCATCGGAAATTTAAAAGTCTTGCAAGAGTTTATAAGGAGCTAAGCTACTCCCACTATTGTCAATTGTTAAGGAGTTGTGCTCTATGTCACCCCAGTAAAATTATTCATGTATTAAGCTTGAAATTTTTCCACGCGGGAAAGGGGATGTGAAAGATTTGAACGATTGTCAGACATTGCAAGGTTAAGAAACTTTGCAACAGTAAAACCTCAACTTTCTTTACCAAATTTGATTTGGTAGTGCTTATGGAAATGTATATTTGAAGATGGTAATTAATACCAGAACTGATTTACTAAATAAATAAGGACAATCTGGTAGTTTGTATGTAACCATACTCTTGATAGGCTGTTTTGGCATGCAAATATTGTTCTTAAGTTTGTTGATTCCGACAATATTTTGCAGAAGGATAGTGAGAAAGAAAGAGAGCTTGAAGGTGTGTTGAAGGATTTGGCCAATTACAAGGTGAAGCTGGAAGCAAAAGATGCTTCCTACATGCAAGCCCTTCTCAAGCTGCAACACCACGAGTACACAGCGGACGAACTCCCTGCCCTCCTTGAAAACATCGAGTTCGAGAGAGATAAGTGCGTCGAGGAATGTAAAGAGGCTCGGGCGCAGATATACCATCTTGAATCCAAGGTAAAGGAAATGGGGGATCAGCTAACTGAGACTCAAAAGGTGAGAGAGCACCTCATGCATGTTTTTAGGGAGTTGAAGGCTACACAATCAGAGCTGCTTGGCATGGAAACAAAACTAGCGGACGCTAGAGATTCGGAGCTAAAAGCTCTAACTCAAGTGGAGCTAATGGAAACAGATTTCGTGATGGAAAATGAGAGGGTGGAAGAGCTTCTTAAACATGTCTCGGAGCTAAGTGAAGCCGTGGTTAAGTCAAAGGTTGCTGCTAGTGAGACAGATAAAGAGAAGTTGGCGATATTATCTGCGAAGGATACTGAGATTGAGTTAGCTACACAGGCTGCTCTTCAAGCGCAGGAGCAGCTCGAAAATTCTAAGAAACAAACGGTGAAGATGGAGGAGTTGGAGGATCAGCTACTCGCCAAGTCTTCGTTCATTGAGATGCTTCAGCTGGAGATTAAACAGGTGAATGAGAACCTTAGTTTCTCTGAGATGGCGTCTTCTGACGCGATGAATGACTTGAACCAGCTGGAAAAAGAGTTAGAAGAGAAGGAAAGAAAGATCTCGGATCAGGAAGGTTTCATCGAGGGGCTAGAAATGGAACTGAATCAGTTAAAATTGGAGCTTAGTGATGCAAATCAAGTGGCCAACAGCCTGAAGCACGACATTGAAGTTCTTACTGAGGATTTACAGAAAGCTAAAATAGAGCTTGATGAGATGGCGGAAAGGGAAAACAATGCGCGGGTTGAGATAGCAATGCTGGAATCTGAGCTGCATAGAGGGAGGTCAAAAATTGCAGCAGCAGAGGCAGCTGAAGCAAGAACCGAAAATGTTAAATCGGGGTTGTACCTTGCGATTCATCAACTAGTAATAGAAGCCGAGACTGCCAAGATGGAAAACAGAATGTTAAAGCAAGGAGCAGACAGCGCAGACGAAGAAACTGACGAACACTCTCCCCTTTTTTATTCCAATGAAGATGCTGAGGTTTCCAAAATTGGTGAACTTAAGGAAGAAGCTGAAGAGCGAAAGGAAGAGAATGATTCCCATGTAACAATTTCATTGAAGGAATACAAGTACTTGGTTAAGAAGGCTGACCAGGCTGATCAAATTCCTTTGTCATTGGTGGAAGCCTTTAGTCGTCAGTTGAGCTTCAGCACCGCAGGAGATAAGTCTGAGTTGGAACATTTGAAGAAGGAGTTGGAAGCTGCAATGGAAAAAGTTGCGCAATTCAGGAACCGGGCTGAGCAGGCTACTACTAGGGCTGATCTTGCCGAGAGAGCGAAAGAAAGACTAGAGGACCGGATAAGGATTTGGCGAAAGGTGAGGCAAAAGAGAAGAGCTGCTCTTGCTGCGCTTAGGGAGGTGTCTCTTCCTAAACAATTTAGCCCTCCCGCATATGAATCTCCAGATGAAATTAAGCCTCCTGCATATGAATCTCCAGATGAATTTAAGCCTAATGCATCAGAAGAAATACAAAAAACATATCCGCAATTGTGTGACGTACTTAAAATGAAATTCTAGCTGTTTTTCTTAAGATTAGACTTAGCTAAATAATTGTTCATGTGAGAAGCACATACTGCTTGTTGAATTCATGTATTCAGTTATCATTGTTAATTACCATTTGCTTGTTTCTAATGTGCTTTTCCTTTCCAAATGTATTCCTTACGCTTCCGTTTGCACGCGTTCGTCTTCCTTTCTTATTTTTAAGTGATCCGTTTCCTATGTCAGAAGGTTCATTCAAACATTTCAAACGATTGACAATTTGAGTACTCCGTGAACCCGGCTGCTATTGAAGCCCGAATGGAAGCAAGCCGAATTCGGGAACTAGAAGAAAGCAAGCGTGTTCAAAACATAAGCCAGTCGGAATAGTTACATTATTGTTCCAACTTTGTACAAAACCATTGAAGATTATGATTACCATCACAGGTCAACATCTGCAAATATCAAATCGTACTTGTGACGTGCATTCCCCTTTCTCGAAGTTTGACTAGAGGTTCGTTTCCTTGAATCCAACGTAATTTGCAGAAAAAATTGTAACCTCAGTTCATCTTCACAACCTGTCACATTGATAAAACCTACCACAGCATCTTTTACCCTATTAGGGAAATCTAAGCCGGAACGGATTCAATCTGAGGATTAGGAATTGCGAAAACTTAAACCCAAAAGTGAGTTAATAGATTTGGGCTTAACTAAGTTGACTAGAACAGTGCACTTACTTTTACACCTAAATTCTGATTCTCCTTCTCGTAGTTTACATGAATTTAGCGTTCTATCATTTGTCAAAAAAGGAAAAAGTCGACGTGGGTTTTGGGTTTCGGGTTTCGAGCTGTGACTAGCAGCGTAGCAGGCACGTAATTGGTAGGAGCCCTAGTGTGAACCTGTGAACTTAATTTTTCTCCATATACTACTACTGACGTCAAGTCTTATAGAAAGTTTGAACTTGGAAGGATTTGGAATGCAATTTTTAGACCAGAAGGGTCTGAAGTTTCTGCACACGGGTAGTGTGGGATTTGTTTTACATGCTTGACCATACTAATTACGTTGTATTTTGACTGGGATAGTCGTGACCCCACTGTCGTGGTAAGGACCAAGGAAAAAGGATGCATTAGCACTCTTCTTTTCTTTTTCTTTTTCTTTTTTTGTTTTTAAGAAAACCTTGACCAAATGACAGAAATTTTATCAATAACAAAAAAAAAAAAAAAGCTGCACTTAATCATGGGGACATGAACTTAACTTGTCATGGTATAAGAAAAAATATAAATAAAAAAAATAGATAAGGAGGACATAAATTTACCCTTTTCGCTCCCTATGTCTCACTCTCCATCTGTATCTCTCCCTCTCTCTCTCTCTCTCTCTCTGCCAATCTTGTAACAATCCATATGCCTCCTCAAATCATCACCATATCAGCTCTAATTCAAGCTCCACTGTACTGATTTAATTCAACAATCAGTCATCAAACCATTGAGTGTGTCTGTGACAACTGGGTTGATTTGTTCATTGTATTTTTATTTTTAATTAATAGTTAACAAGGTTAAATCGCGTTAATTAGTTTGAGGACATGTGTCAAGCAATGAGTTAAGACACGTGGAGATCAGAAAGAGTTTTGGAGGCCGAAGGTTTGGACTCGTTGATTACCTTGTAATTTCATTTTCCATAATTAATTAACAAATACCTACAACTTGGGGGTGCATGCTGTCACTGTAAGCGTGTGAGATTTTAGTATAAATAAATTTACTTTCTGTGATTCTAATTTCTATGACCTTTGTCTCCTGTTGTATTAGTATCTTTGTTGATCTTTCTTTTGGCTTTTATTTTTCGACCTCAGTCCAAAACCATATTTTTGCATGGAATTATTAAATGGCCAATGGCCGGCCATCAAAATTCAAAACCCAATTAAATATTTTCTGGAACTTTTGGCCGAGAGCGTAAAAGTAAATTGAGCTGCAAATATATATGATTCAAATCTCTAAATTCATTAAATATAAGAGAAAAATAACCCATTTCTGTATGTCCAAATTCTATTACATCATCATCTGTAGAGGATAAGTGCTTCAATTTTATTTTTATTTTTTATTGTGTTGTTTTCATACCCTTAATTTCTTTTTCTTTTTCCATGAAAATTTATGCAGGCAAATTTTAAAAGAGCTTCCTTATGTGCAACAAATGGTTCTCTTATTTTTATCAGACTTATTATATGCTTGAGCTTGACTACATTGTGCTTGGCATTTTCTTTTATTTAACTTATTTATTTGAATGAGTTTGCGATAGTTGCAGTGATGACAACATAATTTTTTTACTTTATAACTGAGACGCGTCCAATATTAATGAGTAATAAAAAGTAATATAGAGTAATAATATCATTTACATCGGTGAAATCCTTGTGTGAAAGGAATATTTTCAGTTATATAAAGATTTTCCAAACCACAACACGTGTGACTAGATCGGAACAAAGGTTATCTGATGCTCTTCGTGTCACACCATACAAAGATAATACATAGTTGACAATAAAAGTCTTCACTTTGACTATGAACTTGTTAATTACTCAACTAGAATATGATAATCAAGCAAATTAGGGACCACCCCACGTCCCTTTAAGTACATGACTATGCTGTGAATCCAAATCCACGATCACGACCGCTGGCCGACCCACAGATGCCTTTGAAAACCTCCAAGCACGAGAAATTGTTCGGTATCTTGAGAAGATAGTCTGGCATTTCAAATATCAAAATACAATTGAGTGAAATTTTTTTTTCTAAGTTTTTAACAAATTGTGTTATAATATTTGTAATATCAAGCTGTATTCTTAACACACTAAAAAATCTCCCTAAATACATGGGCTTGTTTTCGTAGATTCCGACCGCGCCCTGGCTTAGATAAACTAATTAGCCCATGAAAAATGAAAAAGTAGATTAAAAAAATGTCCTTTGACCGGTCAATTTTATTTCTATGGATTTACATTAAGGAATTAGTTTCCCTTTGGATTCTCACACCGGAGATACCGGAGATCAATTAATAACAATCCTATCATCAAAGATCTTGCAATTACATTTTTTTTCATTTATATTTTTCAAGCAAAACGAGCTTGCCTTGCTATTAAAAATATAAAAAATATTTAATTGTGATCATACGATTTTTGATGAACAGTTGGTATTAATTGAACTCCGAAATCCCTAATGAAAAGATTTGGAGAGTATCCAATTCCTTACATTACGTGCAAAAACAGTTTATAAGAACCCTAGCTTTATGTCGTTTTCTTATTAGTTTTCTCTAATCTATATGGGAATTTTTGCTTGTTTTGTACTTAGTACATGTAATATTTTTGTTTTATAATAAAGTACTGGTATTAGGACATTTTGGTTTTGATATTTAATCCCAAAAACGCGAAACGAGCATATTTTTTTTTCCACACAAATTGTAATTCGAGAACCACCACATTGTGGTTGGGAACGAATTTCATATTCGTATTCTATACAGAAGTCCTGAGTTCGATTCCTAGTACTGATGTATCACACGATCGTGGTTAGAAAAAGCTGAAATACTATGTAAGTCTTTCTTGTCTCTGAAAGAATGGACACTGGTGACGAAGCCACCTGTTATTATTATTATTTTTTTAAAAAAAAAAAAATTGTAATTCAAGTCTCATCTTCAAAAGCGTTATAGCCTACACGAAGTGAAAAATCAATGAAAAGTTTGTTCTAATCTCTTATTTATAAAAGTAAAATAACATCCCTAATTGCCCAGCTCTATCAGTGTCTTGAAAAAATTTTTCCCAGACTTGGATTGTCACATCCCGGCCTGGGCCCCTACCACATCCTGGGCTCGACTCCACCGTAGCACGATATTGTCTGCTTTGGGCCCCGACCACGCTCTCACGGTTTTGTTTCTGGGAACTCACACGAGAACTTCCCAGTGGATCACCCATCCTGGGAATGCTTTCGCCTGAACTCGCTTAACTTCAGAGTTCTGATGGAACTCGAAGCTAGTGGGCTCCCCAAAAGGCCTCGTGCTAGGTAGAGATGGGAATATACATATAAGGCTTACATGATCCACTTCTTTGGACGACGTGGGATGTTACAAGGATTGCATGAGCAAAAAGACCAACAAGCATATATGTGCTCCTTCTCACATTGTAAGGGTCCCATATATTAGATCCCGAAGTTGTTGGGAAATACCTAAAAGCTTAGGGTTACGAAAAAGAAGGTATTAGTTATCTCATAATTAAACAACCAAAGGTTCTGGTTTTGAGTCTTTTAACCATACCATTGTTGGCTTCAAGTTTTGGACAAGGATCTCTCAATGGTTTTGGGACTTCATCATTTAGTCTTGCTGGATAGTTGAAAATTTTGAGTGCCCAGTGGGTCTTTTTATTAAATTGATTGATCGAACGACTGCTCTCACATTCCATAACTATCTTACAAGATATGCATTTGAGAAATCATTGTTTCTATTGCTACCACAAAAGAAAAAAGTGTAAACCATTTCATTTTCTTTTTGTATATTAATAAACTAATAATTTCATGTTTATCTTTATAATTTGTTAGGTGAGCCACCACCATAGCACACGTTAGTTGTAGCCTTTTGTTAATAAAGCTCCAATCTGCATATTCAAAGTTTTGTCCTCTTAGCTTGCAGTAAAAAAAAAATTATTTCAAGCCTTCGTGTGGAGATGTCCCCAGCTATAATTGTTAATTTAATTAACATTAACTAATACCAACTTTCGTTCTTTTGCCAACATCATTGACCAATGCAAACAGCTTATGGTACGCATAGCAGATTGCAAGTTGGTTCATGTCTATGGGGAGAAGAATGTTGTTATGGATTGCCAATTGGAATTATAATATAAACCTTGAGTATTATTATTTTGAGAATCCATCCGAATGAATTGAAACTCATTTATTTAATAATATGATCAGAGTCTCTGGAACCTGAATTGTTTGCAATAATTTATTGAGTTGGTTTTAGGGTCATCTACCCCTTATGTTACCTAAATTTTTTTTAGAGCTTAATCAACAGTTAGGAACCGGGTCTAACTCGACTTCTATATGGATAAAATTTGAGAGTATTAAGGGGGTACTAATTTTGTAGAAGGTTTTGCATCAAATTCCAAAACCATGGGTGCCCTTTTGACTTTGAAA